CGCGATGTTGCTGGGCATCAGGTCTTCAAGGTCTCCTCGCAGTACCGTCAAGAAATCAAGCAGAAAGCAAAACTGTGGTTGAGAAGGATTTCTTGCACGTGAAGGTGTCCGACCGGGGCCGTGACGGTAAGAGGCTCAACGCCGCAGCCAGGGCTGAGAAGCTGGCCAAGGCGACAGAGGCCCGCATCAAATGGCTCAAGGAGAAGGACGCTTTCCACCACGGCAACCTCGAAATGCCTGACCCCGACCTTGACCCCGTGGTACGTATATAGTTGATATCCTACAACGTGGTCATAACTGACATCTGACCTCGGGACAAGACCTGGGAAGTCGACTTCGACATGCCCTTCCACAGCGAGACCCTGGCGGAGCTCATGGCCCGTCAGTGGTGGCTTGGAGCAAACCCCGAGGGAATGCGTAAGGAGAACCAGGCGCGGTTTGACCTCGGCAAACCACTATCCAGCAACATGATTGCACTTTCGTGCAGTGCGGTGAGTCTACGTATCCTCTTTGACTAGATGACCCCTCAGTTGATTTTTATGATGGCCAGATACTTGTTGCGCTTGAAGAGGCGGCAAGGGGACAGACCATCAATTTCGACGAGAGGCACTACACTGTCGAGTAAGTCAACACCGGCTATAACACACCCAGCTAACTTGAGAGTCCCAGGCACGACCGCTTCCAGGCTCGGATCGACAAGTTCAGGCGGCTCGCCAGCACAGGCGATTGCGAGAAGCGTGCCGGGGTCATTGCCTTCGTCAAGTCCATGGACTCCACGCTGAACAACTATATACGGTAACATGATCTTGTGTGCTCTCAATTCTTGCTGACCATAAATTACACTGTCAGTGCGCTCGCAGGATTGCGTGTCGACGACAGTGACGCTGGCGACGGGGGCCCCGCTGAAGACGATGAGGACGATGACATGTTCAACGCGAACTGGGAGAAGAAGACCGCTTCCAGAGCGTAACGAACATCGCTATTGAGCAGTCTCCAACGGGGATGTACGATACGTATTGTTTTCTGTGTTGTATTTCTCTGGTGCATGCGCACAGGCTCCCCATTCCTTACGTCCGGTCACTGCCCACTGTTGTCCCATCACCTCCAGTAGCACAATACCTCTTGTCTCTACCATCAGCTGCTGGATGTACGTCTGCCTGTCATGTGTTGTTTGTATGCCCCATCTGTATCATCTTTTGCAATGTATTCAATGGCCCAGATTTTATTGTGAATCACGGTTGAGAAAATACTGAGGAATTGAGAGGGCTCTGGGAAGCCTTGCAACACCTTCCAAGTAGCCTAAAAGCATTATTAAAGGACCAAAGAAAATGGTTCAGAGCAATTTCAAAGTGATTGAAAGCAGCATTATTGATTAAATGGACGGCGAACCCATGAAATTGAAACCAATGTGAAGAGAATGTTAACAAGGGAGGGTAGCTTTTAAACAGCTAAAAAGGGTTTGGGTTACTTTGAAGGCTTCAGATTAGGGCACTTGTGTATGAGCCGCTCTTGGCGCTTGGAGGTGCTTTTCTGCTCTGAAAGCCGTGAGAAGTGTTTGTAAGGGCTTTCCGAGACAGGGCATTTTTCCTGATGCACTGACTTGAAGGAAGCAGAATAAGTACATGAGGCCGTGGTAGTATGGTTCATGAAGGTATGACTCACCTGCCCTGCTGCAGATCATCAAATGCTCCCCCTCTAGTGTAGCGTTCTGATGACAATCCATCGGAATATCTGTCAGATTGAGTACATTGCAGAGAACACGACTCGAACGGTATCACTCACCACCGCCGCAAAGACTTACTGCCGTTGACAGGTCGAGACTCGAGCCACGGTTATACTCGTGTCCGAGTCCGAGATAGCCATCAGGCCACCGCCCAGCGTACAACTTGAACTGGTGGGTATCAACCCGGAGAGCAACGTGGCGCGATTGCCATCGGAGGATCTGTTTAGTTGGCTGCAGAGAACATGACTCGGCTGTCAGTACTCACCGTGTCAACGAAATACTGTCCTTATTGACAGGTGTACTTGTGTGGATGGGTCTCGAGACACGCAGTCAAGAGTCGAGTATGGCGTCGCACGATTTGAACCAACGTGGGACAGCGCTAGACACTGCCCTGTCACGCTCTGTGGGTCTGTCTTTGGACGCCTTCTTTGGCCTGTATTTGCACACCGGTGTCCGCCGAATCCACGACACAAACACTGTGAGTTGTGACAGTGGCTTCGACAACACGTCCGCAGAATGGACGGCCGACGCGCCCACTCCTCTTCCTGCATATGCACCTGCAACCGACTCGGCGAGTCTCAAGCTTTCAAGCCCAAGTCTAGGTGAGATAACGAAGAGGCTTACCTTATTCGTCCACTGCACAAGCCAATGAGATCGCAGTGATCTCATCGGTACTGAACACTTGCCAAGAGTCATATAGGGCCACTCGGCGTGATATTCAAGGCCTCGAGGTGCAGTGTGGTGTCCGGGTCAATAAACAGACCACATGGTACATTTCAGTGGATCGGCGGTTCGGTACGAGCATTTCACACTCTGGCGGTCAGTGATACTTCAGGCTAACATCCGAAATGCCAAAGCCCCTGCGAGTCGCAGACAGCCTCTCATTCCTGCCCTTTCGTGCACATTGCTCCGAGGCGTCTCGGAATCACGTCTGCCCGAACCACTGTACTACGACTTACATTACCCCAGGCCGACCGCTATGGGATGCTCACTGTCTCACACCGCCAGTGAGTGGCCGTCCAACTCGGCGATTCGAGCCTTGTGTGCAAAACACGCCAACTTATGTAACCTAACTTTTGATCAGGCTCATCGCTTGTCAGAAACTCCCGGAGCGAGGACGCGGCAGGCGTCCACTCAGATGCCAACCGCGGGAGCCCAGCGAAGCGCGATGGAATGTTGGAAGGGAAGCTCGAGGATTTCTTCAAGAGCGAGACTCACAGTGGACTGGAGCTCAGTGGTTCAATCGATCTCGGGCTCGCAACGCACGTAAGTCATTTCGTTACATTTTGGGCTCGTTTTCCAATGCTGTGACTTTCCCTAGGTCGTGAACTTTCTTCGTGCAGATACCGGCTGGCGCATGGCGTTGCGGTATACGTCGCCCGTGACCGCGACGTCTCCGCTTGAACTCACAATCGCGCTGATCGCTGCATGTCTTCATGATTCCTTCATCCCGCGTTGCCGACACCTCACCGTCTTGGGTGAACTGCGCACGGCGCTGGAGGCCGTCGGAGTGGAACAAGACCTTGATTGGCCGGATGCCCTTCCGCTCGCGCACTTCATGGTGCGTGTTGCAGAGGGCTATCTCACCATCAATACTGGTACTGTAAGTCTTCATGCTCGTGCACATTGTTTGTTCTGAACTCGCCACGAACTCCTTGCAGGATGTGCACATGATCAATGACCAACCTCACGCATACATTGCAGCACATAAGATCGGCAGGTCGAGCACCATATATGTATCTGATAGCTCGGACGCTGAATCAGACATGCCCTCCCTCGAGTCCGTGAGCAGTTGCCTGTGATGTGTAGCCGAGGGTAGCCATTTTATACAATTGTTATGTAAATACTACGAAATGTACAGCTTCATATGCTCGCGTCCGCTCGTTTCCCATCCGCACGCACCGTCCGCGCGCCCTCCCGCCCTGCTGCCCGTTCGGTGTTTGTTGCTGTGTCCGTATCCGCAGCGCGTTCGTCGGCTGCGCTTGCACGCGGGGCATTGGCCCTACGCGCTCGCGACCGGCGTGTGTTGGGCGCGTCCGGGCCCTACTCATCCTCGCCGTCTCCTGTCTCCTGCTCACGCACGCGGCCCGTTCGTCAGCCGTGCTTGCGTACGGGGCATTGACCCTGCACACTCGCAGTTGCCGTGCGTCGTTGCCTGCTTGTGTACATGTACTCGCCTGTCCGCCTGTCCGCCCACTCGCCTGCCCGTTTTGCCTGCCTACGCCTGAGCGTTCGTCGGCTGTGCCTGCGTGCTGGGCATCTGCCCAGCGCGCTGGTGGTCGGTGGCTCTCGCCCGTCCTCTCGCCCGTCCTCTCGCCCGCTCACTCCCTGGTTTGCCCACCTGTCCTCTCACCCACTCACCCACTTGCCCGCCCGCCCGCTGTCGCGCCCACTTCCCAGCGCACCCGCTGGTCCGCCCGTCTCCCAGCTCCTCAGTCTGCTTACCCGATCGCTTGCAGGCATTTTCATCGGCCGAGGTTGCGTGCTGGGCGTTCGCCCAGCGCGCTCATGGTCGACGTGTGCTGCCGCCCGCCCGTCCGCTCACACGTCTGCTCATCCGCCTGCACCCTGTTTGTCGGCCGTCCCTGCACGCAGGGCATTGGCCCTGCGAGCTCGCGGTCGTCGTGCGCATTAGGTTGCAGGTCGCCGCGTCCTGGGCCTGCGTTAGTGGGCCCGTTCGCGTGTGTTTGCACTCACCCGAGGTACTGGCCCTCGCCCGTTCATCCCTCCCCGCTGTCCACTCGCTCACTTGCCCTCACGCCCGCCAGCTCGCACATCCCCGGTTCCTGTGTCCGTCGCTAGTTTGTCGGCCGCGTCTGCACGCAGGGCATTGGCCCTGTGTGCTCGTGGTCATCGCACTGCACGTCGCCGCGTTCTGTGTCTACGTTAGTGGGCTCGTTCGCGTGCGTCTGCACTCACCGGGGGACTTTTGCCCTCGCCTACCCTCGCCCGCCACACCCTTCCCTGTCGTCTGTTTGTCGTCCGCTCGTCGTCCCCGCTCGTCTTCCGCGCCCGACGTCTGCTCGTCGCCCACGCCCGCCGGACGCTTGTCATCTGCGCTCGCCGGACGCTTGTCATCTGCGCTCGCCGTCCGCTCGTTGTACGCGCCCGCCGTCTGCTCGTTGTCCCCGCTTGTCGTTCGCGCCCGCCGTCTGCTCGTTGTCCACGCCCGCCGTCTGCTCGTCACCCGCGCCCGCCGTATGTTCGTCGCTCGTTGCTGTGCCCGCGCCCGCGGCGTGCTCGTGGGCTGCGCTTGCACATGCGGCTTTTGCCGTGCGTGCTCGCCGTCCGCGTGTGTGCCGTGCTTGGGATTGTTTCGCCTGGGGCTGTGGGCGAGTTGAGCACTCACCTGGCGAGAGGATAGGGTGGCAGACGCCCCGCGGAGCGACACCCTCGGGCAAGTTCGGGCGCTCGCGGAGTTGCCTCTTTGGGCAATACCGCCACGGGTGCGACACCGCGCAACACCGCAACACCGGGAGGCGGGTACGCGGTAGTCGCGGTGTGGCGAGGATCGCACACCGCACCCGTACCCGGGGACACCTCGGGTATGTTACCGCGGGTGTACCCGATACCCGTGTCCATCCTTACTATATCGGGTCACGATCTCGGACAGCCTAGGTAGTCGGTCACTCGAGCCTCATTCAACAATCACCCCTTCTATAGCTATGAAATAAATCGTAGCATGTCTCAATGCATCCTTGTAATGCCTGTACAAAATTTGAAGCCAATACACTGAGATCTGTGTGCAGGAAAAATCATCCTTTGCGATGATACCTATTTCTGGTAAGCAGTGTGGCTCACCCTACTCTCGACCAGAACTTTAGCTACTGAGCTCGACTCAATGATCGTATATTTTTTCTCATATTTTTCTCGTATTTATGAGGTCTCTTAACATACCTTCTCACAAGAATTCAGGTCATTATGGCCCATACAGAGTGAGGAGGGCTTGTCGAATGCTTAGGTGGCCGAGATCGTGACCCGATATAGTATCCAAGATGGAAAATGTGCGTGTGGGAGATCATGATGCGGAGATGCCTCCGGTCCGTCATGGGTGTTGTGCTCTAGAAGAGGGAGGTAGCTGCTGATGCTGCTTGAAATGCTGTAGACAACCTAGGGACAAACGCGGAGGTGATTCATTTTTGAATTTTGTATGGGACGAGGGGTCTGCAGGACGGCTGAGCACCGAGGGCAAAGTCGGACACTAGTCGTCAGGGAAGCCAGTGCCGCTATTGTTTGCGCAAAATAATTTCATTTCGAGAGTCACCTTGGCTGGATACTGAGCAACGAGCAAGAAAACACGACGTCGACGACAGAGCAGTGCGAGGATGTACTACATACAGCAAGCGAGAACCAAATGGTGGCCAACCACTTTTCAATACGCGTTGTCGTCATGACCTGCATCTGGTGCCATAGGCAGCTGAGTGCGCTTCACTTTTGATTCAGGTTCAGTTGGTGTTTCTCTGAATTTGGTTGCCCTTCACTTCATCTTTGCTGAGTGTGATTCGCTTTTGATTCAGGTTCAGTTGGTGATTCAGGTTCAGTTGGTGATTCAGGTTCTGTTGATGTTTTTCTGAATTTGGTTGCCCTTCACTTCATTTTTGCTGAGTGCGCTTCGCTTTTGATTCAGGTTCAGTTGGTGTTTGATTCAGGTTCTGTTGATGTTTTTCTGAATTTGGTTGCCCTTCACTTCATTTTTGCTGAGTGCACTTCGCTTTTGATTGAGGTTCAGTTGGTGCTTTGTTTTTGCTGAGTGCGCTTCGCTTTTGATTGAGGTTCAGTTGGTGCTTCACTTTGTTTTTGCTGAGTGCGCTTCACTTTTGATTCAGGTTCAGTTGGTGTTTCTCTGAATTTGGTTGCCCTTCACTTCGTTTTTGCTAGGTGTGATTCGCTTTTGATTCAGGTTCAGTTGATGTTTTTCTGAACTTGGTTGCCCTTCACTTCGTTTTTGCTGAGTGTGCTTCACTTTTGATTCAGGTTCAGTTGGTGTTTGATTCAGGTTCTGTTGATGTTTTTCTGAACTTGGTTGCCCTTCACTTCGTTTTTGCTGAGTGCACTTCACTTTTGATTCAGGTTCAGTTGGTGTTTCTCTGAATTTGGTTGCCCTTCACTTCATTTTTGCTAGGTGTGATTCGCTTTTGATTCAGGTTCAGTTGGTGCTTCACTTCGTTTTTGCTGAGTGCACTTCACTTTTGACTCAGGTTCAGTTGGTGTTTCTCTGAATTTGGTTGCCCTTCACTTCATCTTTGCTGAGTGTGCTTCACTTTTGATTCAGGTTCAGTTGGTGTTTGATTCAGGTTCTGTTGATGTTTTTCTGAACTTGGTTGCCCTTCACTTCGTTTTTGCTGAGTGCACTTCACTTTTGATTCAGGTTCAGTTGGTGTTTCTCTGAATTTGGTTGCCCTTCACTTCATTTTTGCTAGGTGTGATTCGCTTTTGATTCAGGTTCAGTTGGTGCTTCACTTCGTTTTTGCTGAGTGCACTTCACTTTTGACTCAGGTTCAGTTGGTGTTTCTCTGAATTTGGTTGCCCTTCACTTCATCTTTGCTGAGTGTGCTTCACTTTTGATTCAGGTTCAGTTGGTGTTTGATTCAGGTTCTGTTGATGTTTTTCTGAACTTGGTTGCCCTTCACTTCGTTTTTGCTGAGTGCACTTCACTTTTGATTCAGGTTCAGTTGGTGTTTCTCTGAATTTGGTTGCCCTTCACTTCATTTTTGCTAGGTGTGATTCGCTTTTGATTCAGGTTCAGTTGGTGCTTCACTTCGTTTTTGCTGAGTGCACTTCACTTTTGACTCAGGTTCAGTTGGTGTTTCTCTGAATTTGGTTGCCCTTCACTTCATCTTTGCTGAGTGTGCTTCACTTTTGATTCAGGTTCAGTTCATCAGGAAAAACTCCCTTGTCTTGACAAGTATTCTAAGTACTGCATGTCTTGAAATCTATAAAGTACTTGGCAAGACAAGTCATATGCTTGAAGTACCTGCACAAGAGAGCCTATGCTTGAAGTTAAGATATCTTTTGTGTCTTCAGACTATTGATGTAGGTTTACTCTACATGTCTTGATGAGCTTGCAAGACGTACATGATAATGTGCTTATTTCAAGACATGTGGACATTGTCAATCAACATTTGAATCTCCATGGCTCTCAAAAAAATCTGTGTCTTGTCGTAGTGGGCAACTTCCACAAGTATTGGAACCCAAATTGAGATGAAATCAATAATATTATTGCGCACTGCGCATGACATCACAGCATAGGTAATTGTTAGAGCAGTACAGAGCGTGTTATACAACATTACAGAGCAACATAAAAAATGTATCACCTAACCGCCTTACGAACGACAACTGATGATTGACCAGTGACCAGTGACCAGCAACATGTCACTCATGTCGAGAGAATGTCGAGAAATGAGACGGACGGCTAGACGAATGCCGACACGGATGGCAGGACGGCGATATGGACGGAGATACGGACGGCGGCACGGACGGCGACACGGACGGCGACATGGACGGCGACATGGACGGCGACACGGCGAGATGACGATACAGCGATTGACTATAGAGAGACGAGGAAGTTGTGTAGATGCTGTAGTAGATAGTCTGACGATTGTTCAGGCGCTGATCCAGGATGTACAAGAATGAGAAGATACTTACCTTGGCATGCTGTGCTCAGGCGTCGGAGAGTACGTGGGAAGCCTCACGCCCAGCTTCTTCTTCATTGACCTGAGGCTCGACTGGGGAACAATCGTTCATTGTACACACATACTATTGACAGTGATGCACTTACCCTCAGGCGCCTTCGACGTCGTCGTCTTTGACGACGGCGGCTTCGACGATGTGGCTTCGAGATGACGGCTTCGACGATGTCGGCTTCGGATGACAGCTTCACGATGTCGGTTTCGAAGACGACGGCTTTGACGATGGCTTTGCAGCCTTCGTTCCGGTGGCCTTAGTGTCGCCGACCTCTACATCGCTCCACGCATGAACTGCTCGCCAGGGCTACCATCGTCAGCGATGTCTTGCTTATCCTTCGATCTCGAGACTTGCTGCTCATTGATGAGTGCGCTGGACCAACATTGAGATAGACTCGACGTTTAGAAGGTTAGTATTAATGCCACTTACCTGACATTGGTCCACATCATCTCCTTCAGAGCTTGGTACACCTCCGATGGTTGCTTTCGAACTGATCCAGGATGCCCATGATGTTGATCCACCTACTCACACGTGAGGGAGAAACACTACGCTAGACAGACTGTTACACTCACTTGGCCGCATATAGCTTGTTAGAGAAGTGGTGAGTCCCTGTGGCTATGTCCACCAACGCCGCCTCGATCTATAAAAGAATTGTTCAGTATTACAGCTGTCCATAAACTAACGTGAACAAAACTTACCGCATTGCACACAGGGCTATGAGGTTGTTCGGAACCTCACTGAACCGATCGTACCTGCGACTGACGCAGTGTCCCTGTGTCCATGGAACCAGTGCTGCACAATGACGTCGGACAACGCCTTGTGCTGGAACGGTTTCTTGCGGTTCACGACGCTCGCCTGTGGGGCCCTTCAAGAACAAGCAGTAAACATCCAAGATGACTGTACATACCTTCATGTCGACCTCGTAAGGTTCGTCCGACTGCCAGGCGATGTCGATTTCGCCGAAGATAAAATTCGGCATTGAGAATTTGCCCTGTGTGTTCGACTTGAGGAGGAATGTTGCGGCTGCGACTCTGTGCTGCGTCGAGAGGCTTCCCAGGCTGTAGGCACTGTCGACCACAATCTTCGCTTTCTTCTTGACCTCGTTTCGGAGCTGAGACGCGCCTGTCCACACCTGCAACAAGACTCAGTTCGTTTGATGTGTCAGGAACAAGTGACTTACAACACTGGCGACGTTCTCGCGAAGAACGTGGTTGCGTTTCTTTTTCAGGGTCTTGAACCCTGACACAAGGTAATCAATCTTCTTGCCATCCTCCGCGCGATGGCGGCGAGCGTCCTTCAAGGCCCTCTTGATGACGAGGTGCTTGTGGGGCAGCTGACTGATGTTCTGCGTCTTCTCGGAGGTCCATGCGTGGTCGAGTGAGAGGCGGAGGCAGAGGTACATCTGTGAGCACGTAACAATAGGCTTGAGGGTCTCCGGGATGTCCCTGGCCTGCGCACGACGACGACCTTCGGACTTCTGCCCGGCCGCGCTGCTGCTGCTACGTTTGCTTCTCTTGCCTTTGGACTGCCCGGCCTTACTCTTCGGGGCCTTGACAACCTGCAGAACTTCATCGACAAAGCAGTGAATGCGGGATGATTGACTTACAATCACTTCATCCTCACTGTCCTTGTCCATCGCCTCGTCCTCCGCATCTCTGTCTTCCTCCGAATCATCGTCGTTGCTGTCGCTGTTGCTGTCCGAGTCACTGTCCGACTCATGGTCTTCTTCCGTATCGTCCGCGTCCGGCTCGGTCTTGTTCTCCGACTCGGTGTCGGTGTCCAACCAGTCGTGCTGTTTCTTCTGCTTCTTGTTGACCCTCGTACCCTTGCCCTTGTTCTTCTCAACCGCTGCACCCTTGCCCTTGGTCTTGACCGCCGCACCCTTGCCCTTGTTCTTGTTGACCACCGTCTGCTGTGTAATCTATCATAGTTTGAGATGAGTAAATAAAGATGCACTCACCTTCACCTTTTTTGGAGGTGAGTCAATGACAACGGCATCCATGCACCACACTTTCTTGGCTTTGGCACGCTGCGTGACGTTAGTGCGTTGCTCTTTGTCGTCTTCTGACCCACTGTCCCCATGAGCATGGTTGTTTCGCTGCCTTGCCTTCGGATTGTTTTTTGACGTTGCTGACGACGATTGAGGCTTACCTATGATGTTGCTTGCAGATTAGCTAGGAACCTATGGGAGGACCCACATACCGAGAGCTGTCGCAAGGTTACACTCGTCTGCGTCGAGCAAAGTGTCGCCCCGGTCATTCTTGGCTTTCTCAGGTTCGTTCGCCGGCTTCCGACCAAACGCAGGCCTTGGTTTAGGTTTGGCTTGCATACCACTTCTGTTAGTAGTTCGATATACTTATTAGCTTGTGTAAAAGACTCACGGCGCGGAGGCAGAGGTGCCTCTGGGGGATTATCCACATTGTTCGCATTGCCCACCTCTCGCTCTGGCTCCACTCGCATCTCCTCCTCTGCTTCCGCTTCCGCCTCCGCTGCCACCTCCTCCTCCTCGACAAGCTCGTCCTGTTCTTCATACTCGCTGAGCTTGATCTCCACGTTCTTCTTCACCTTCTTGCGCCTCAGTTGCTCATCCTCATCCTCCTCGTCCTCTGCGCCAGACGTGTTCTCCTCTAGCAACATAGCTGTGCTCGTCCTTCGTACGTCTGTTGTGAGTTCAGCATTCGTTTTGTGTCGTCCATCCCAATCAACGTGAAGTTGAGCACTCACTGGATTGATGTTCGGCCGCCGCCTGCTTCTCGGCCTGCTCCATCTTCGCTTTCAACTTGTCATACAACCGCTTCTCGGACGGGGACAGAATGTCGGGCTGGGAGGTCTTGCCATTTCTCTCTGGGGTTTCCTGCCTGCCGCGCTTGGAACCCGTGGCGCCCTTCGATGAGGCTTTCGTAGCGGTGGAGGACTTCTTAGCAGCCGGCGCTGACTTTACAGCGGCCTGACCAGTCTTAGCCTTCGTGGTCGGCTGGCCGGTGGGCTGGCGTGCCGCACTACGGAGAGACTGACGTGTAGCCATTCCAAGGTGCAGTACGTTCACTGAGAGCGAGCGGTGGTGAGTGTTGACGGAACAGTGAAAAATATTAGATAACACACCGTGTGAGCGGACTCTGACTCACCGCTGGATGAGGTTCTCAAAGTCTTCCGTCGGTCGTAGTGGTCGCGCAAACTTCGGAGGATGATGGAAGCCAAGTGCAAGAGCATCGGACCGCACTGCGGGCATGAGCACATGAGACTCGCGGCTGGTCGCGGTTCTGGAAGCCTTCGAACCAGACAGTGTTGTTAGCGTTAGCGCTGAATACAATCTATACAGTTGATCTACGTAAGCACTTCAAGATTCACAACACTTGACAGGCGAACTTGAAGGCTGAGTTTCACGAACTCGAGTATATTACACAGACGGTCTACCAAGTGTTCCTGAAAGTCCTGTGGTATACTTTGAGCCTTGTCGTTCTTTTGCTGGAGTTCATTCATTGAAACAGTGCAGTAATTTTGAAGCACACAGGCGCAAAAACAAACACATACCGTTACCGGGTCTCAGCGAGCTGGAGAGGCGGAAGCAGTTCTCGTATGCCCAGGTACCGCGGAGCTAAACCGTGCGTAGTGAATTGAAGCTGATTGAATTCCTTCGGATGGGACCCAAGCGTCAGGACATGTAGGTGGTCGTCTGCCATGAAGTGAGACAAAATCTCTCGACCGGGACTGCAATTGACATCCGCGCGCGCGGCGTCTGCTCCCCAGCGCACTCTCGGCTGCGAGCTCATCGAGCATACCACCCGCCCCACTGCCCGTCAACTCTCGCCGCGGATTCATGCTCCTCGTCCTCCGCGCCATCTCCATTGGTAGCACCAGCTTCTCCCCCTACCCCTACCTCGCAAGCACACGCGCCCCCGTGTCCTGCGCGCGATGAGCCTCTCGGCATGTTGACCACCGACGCTAGTCCCACGCCGAACTCGTGCAGCAGCCCCTTCATCCGCGGCTGATGTGCGTGCGGGGGGATGAGTCCGGAATGATATCCGAAACGAATTCTGCAATTCACTGTACGTCCTTCGGAACAACGTCGATTGCGGGCGGCGACCAGTTGATAACGCAGTAGACGAATTAGGTCAGCAACACAGTTTTTATCAACAAAATAGACCTCACCTCACGTATCCATGAACACATATTCGCACCAGACGGGAATGCTCCGCGACTCGACAGCGCCGGACGGCAATCTGTCCGGTCTTCGCTGGTCATGCCCCCGTCTAGCCGCACGGCAGCTCGTCTTAGCACGTGTACGCGGTTGTTGATACCCGTTCGGTCGCTGGACGACTAGGTGGTTAGCAAATGGCGCTGGGCAAGCCGGTAGATAGAATGACAGCTCCCTAGTACTCAGAGTATACAGTAGATACAACTGTGAAGCTATTTACTACAGTTCAATGAATCCAATTGTGTCATTGTGCATTGTCACTTGGGATACTGACAACTGCTTGAATTGAAGTTCAACGGAAGGATAAGTGTCTTGGGAAGTATTCTTGGAGTAGCAACAAGCTGTAATGTGCTTTCAAACGGACATTACATGTGTTACTATACATTAATTCAAGAACGGTACTCTTTTACATGTACCACAAGCTAATATTCCACCTGACCAAGCTATTTAAGTACTGTATGGCTTGAGAACCACTCTACATGACTTGTCAAGTATTTATATATCTTGCCAAGCCAAGTAGGTTTTTCCTGATGGAACCTCACTTCACGGAATGCTCCACCATACCCGCCGCTGCTGATCTTGCGCAGCGACTCGATCGCCTTCATGACAAGTTATGCGCCGAGCTCAAGAAAGCCCAAGATCGACAAGCTTGAGCCTACAACGAGCACCGCTGCGCCCCCATTTGCGCGCGACCAGCTCGTCTGGTTGCTGCATCGCAACATCAAGACGACGTGCCCCTCCGACAAGCTCGACCATTGCAAGCTTGGTCCCTTCCCTATGGAACACGCCGTCTCTGACACTGCTTACCAACTTCGCCTCCCTTCATATCGAGCCTACTGAGTGGGAAATCACATTTCAAACGGTCCACCCGGAGTGCATTTGGCCCGTTTCTAACGGTGTACCCGGGCTCGGCCGGAGCACTCCGGGTCTACCGTTTGGAGCGGCCGCTGCCAGCAACGAACCGGCCGGAGGGAGGGTGGTGGTTTGGAATGGTCCGGCCGGAGTGTTGGGTAACGTTCCGGCCGGAGCTCTGGTGAACGTACCGGCCGGAGGCCTCGAGAAATATGGGTTTCCTACGGTCCGGCCGGACTGTTATCGAATGTTCCGGCCGGACCCCTGGTCAACGGTCCGGCCGGAGGCCTCCAAAGATTTAGGCTTCCTACCGTCCGGCTGGACACATATTCAATGTTCCGGCCAGACCTTTGATCAGTGTCCCAGCCGGAGGCCTTGAAAATTTGGGCTCTCAACGGTCCGGCCGGGCTCATCACTAACGGTCCGGCCGGAGCACTCAGCAATGATTCAGCCTGGCCGGGGTTGGTTTCGGACGTCTGGCCGGCCCCCAGGTGAAACGGTCTGGCCGGGCAAAATCCCAACTTCCAATGTGAACAGGCCAGCCAGAAGCCTTGCAAAATCTGGGCTGTAAATGTTCCAGCCGGGCTAGTTTCTAACCATCCAGCCGGACCCCAGATGAACCAACCGGCCAGGCTTCTCCCAAACCAGCCAGACCCCTCAGAATTGATACACTAGTAATATAACAACAAGAATTGTTAGTTGTAACAACCAAGCTCAATATTTAACCACCAAGCCCAGAGATGAGCCACCAAGCTCGGTATCAAACCACCGAGCTCAATAGTGAGCCACTGAGCACAGTATTGAACCACCGAGGTTAAACAGCTAGGCCCGGTGGCCGAGAAAAATTGGCCGGGCTCGGCGCCGAGGATAAATGGCCGAGGCTCGGGCCGAGGTTTCAAGCGCCGAGCTCGGTGAAAACCGCTGAGGTCAGTATCAAAGCATTGAGCTCAGTGTTAAGGGGCCCAGTTAAAGGGCCGAGCTGAGTGTTCAATGACCGAGTTTGTTGTTGAAGCACTGAGCTCGGAAATGGCTGAGGTTAAACCACCGAGCTCGGTGAAAAACGGCCGGGCCGTCAGATTGCCATATAAGGAAATTTGGTATCATCTGGTAGCCCTTCATTCACAGAGTACAGTATATGTTCCCTAGTGTACAGAGATGCCTAGTTAGGTCAGAGAATACAAAATAAAAAATGCTCACAGGCTTCTCTGAGAACATACTATTCAACTCCTGAGGCCAGTTTTCTTTTCCCACAATGTTTGACCATCTAGAATGTGCTATTTCAATGCACAGCCTACATCCCCAACAGGAATAGTCTTATTCTTTGAAGCTGAATGCAGGACAGGAGATAAGGGTATACATGTTGGATAATGATGTTCACTCCCTGCAGCCAATATTCTTTCCAAATAGTGTTTGACTATCTAGAATGATTCATTTCCTCACAATGAGTGAGTCCTCCAAAGGAATAGTCTTATTCACCGAGCTCGGTGGTTTAACCTCAGCCATTTCCGAGCTCAGTGCTTCAACAACAAACTCGGTCATTGAACACTCAGCTCGGCCCTTTAACTGGGCCCCTTAACACTGAGCTCAATGCTTTGATACTGACCTCAGCGGTTTTCACCGAGCTCGGCGCTTGAAACCTCGGCCCGAGCCTCGGCCATTTATCCTCGCGCCGAGCCCGGCCAATTTTTCTCGGCCACCGGGCCTAGCTGTTTAACCTCGGTGGTTCAATACTGTGCTCAGTGGCTCACTATTGAGCTCGGTGGTTTGATACCGAGCTTGGTGGCTCATCTCTGGGCTTGGTGGTTAAATATTGAGCTTGGTTGTTACAACTAACAATTCTTGTTGTTATATTACTAGTGTATCAATTCTGAGGGGTCTGGCTGGTTTGGGAGAAGCCTGGCCGGTTGGTTCATCTGGGGTCCGGCTGGATGGTTAGAAACTAGCCCGGCTGGAACATTTACAGCCCAGATTTTGCAAGGCTTCTGGCTGGCCTGTTCACATTGGAAGTTGGGATTTTGCCCGGCCAGACCGTTTCACCTGGGGGCCGGCCAGACGTCCGAAACCAACCCCGGCCAGGCTGAATCATTGCTGAGTGCTCCGGCCGGACCGTTAGTGATGAGCCCGGCGGACCGTTGAGAGCCCAAATTTTCAAGGCCTCCGGCTGGGACACTGATCAAAGGTCTGGCCGGAACATTGAATATGTGTCCAGCCGGACGGTAGGAAGCCTAAATCTTTGGAGGCCTCCGGCCGGACCGTTGACCAGGGGTCCGGCCGGAACATTCGATAACAGTCCGGCCGGACCGTAGGAAACCCATATTTCTCGAGGCCTCCGGCCGGTACGTTCACCAGAGCTCCGGCCGGAACGTTACCCAACACTCCGGCCGGACCATTCCAAACCACCACCCTCCCTCCGGCCGGTTCGTTGCTGGCGGCGGCCGCTCCAAACGGTAGACCCGGAGTGCTCCGGCCGAGCCCGGGTACACCGTTAGAAACGGGCCAAATGCACTCCGGGTGGACCGTTCGAAACGGTCAAGTTCCACTCAGTATGTGTCATATCTCTCTCGCCTTCACCCCGTTTTCCATGTCTCCCTCCTTGAACCTTACTCCAACCCTTCACAATTCCATACCCATGCTACCCCTGACCCCTTCGACATTGACGACCTTGCTCCTTCGAACCCCATTGCCGCCGTCCTTGACTCGCGCAAGCTCGGACAGTGTTACGAGTACCTAGTGCACTGGAAAGGCCTCTCCGAGGACAAAGACTCATGGCTCCCTCTTTCCAACATCCCTACCTCCGACAATGAACTCCTAGAACACTTCCACCGCGTCACCCTCGTGCTCCGTGTCCTCACCAACTTCTCATTGACCGAGTGGTGTCTGTATCTGTTGGAACAACCAGGCGAGCGCATACCCGATTCCCGGCTCGCCAACGCGCCGTGCTGCGGCGCGATATGATTGCACCCGATCTGTACCTTACTTAGATAAGGATTCACTTTATTAGCTCGATGTTTGCATGTATTTACCTCGCGGTTTGCCCCCCCCCCGTCCCGAGGACGAGACAAACCACACACGTTCTATCGAGATACCCCGTTGCTCTTTGACGCTACCTGCTTGTTCCCACCCGACGCCGACGTTCATTCAACAGTATCTACAGATGCTGCCCTACTAACTTCATCTTCTTCCTCTTCTGCTCCACAGGTCCCCGCGTCCTCCGAGTCCTCCACTGCTGCCCCAAGACCATCCTCGTCTGTGTCCGCTCTGCCCATGCCTCCGTCTGTGCCCGCTCTGCCTGCTGCCTCTGCCGTGCCTCCCGCTGCCTCGCGCACTCCGACATCGCGGAATTTGCGCAACGGCGTTATTGCCTGATACATCTGGTCCATCGTGAGAAAGATGGTGGCTTATTGTACCTCAGAAACCTGCATTGTAAGTCCGCTATCGGTCTGGCGGAGGGCTGCCCGTCTTCATATCGACCTGTTATGTGCTGATCTCCAGAGAACAGTGTTCTCGTCGCCTGCTCCTCTATCGTCCATCTGTTTGACCCTGGCGATGTCCACATATTCTTGTTATCATTTCGACAAGCTGTGGGCTGTGGCCCGCTAGGTAAGTCCAACTGTGTGCGGAAATCCGTCAGACTGATAAGTGTTCGACCCGCCTACAACATGCACGCACGTCATGGGCGGGTAGTACAAGGTATATAACAGAAGCTCGTCGTGCCGAAGTGCTGACTGCCATGGTGGCGCCTTCGTCTTCGTTGATGTTCTCGCGGAGTATCGGTCACGGTGGTCTACCGCCGGGTAATCGACTCAAGTTGGGAAATACTACTATAAGTATGTGCGCCCCATCATGTCCTCCACACATTGTTGACAGTAGCTTCTCGCCTTCACTCAGTGAACGAAGATTCCTTGAAGGTATGTGGATATTCAGTATGGATTGATTGCGTATGACTCGGACAGGGACACATGTCACCGGCCGCAGGCCTCCCTCGACTCAATCAGCAGCTGCAATTGCGCTGCAAGCCGGCAAAGAGTAGCAACTCGCTGCTCACTTCTTTTGGATCCTTGTCAAGCGAGCTCTCGGATATGTCAGAGGCTGGCCGGCTACTCTGCGTGCTGCAGAGCGAGTCTCGGACAGCTCGGGCGATCTACGGACTGATTCAGGTAACCATGCATGGGTTGCTTCGCGATATCAATCCGTCGTTATTTGCGGTCGTCTTGGCAGTGACAATCGTGATCTCGGAGTCTCAACCATCTGAGGTGAGCCTTTTGAACGTGGCTGCCTATTGCTTGCTCTTGACTTGCTCCCCTCATCATGGCAACACCCAAAACATCTGTCCTTGCTCGTGGATGTTTCGCATAGTGGACCCGGTAAGCGTGTCATTCATCAGGTATTATGATGGCCTCACATCATAGTGGGTGGATGTGTGGACGAACGTCGGAACGAGCGCGAGCAGGCGGGCGGGTGGACTAACGAGCAACACGAGGGTCGTCGTTGGGCGCGTTGTTGGCGGGCTTTCAATTGCGCCTCGGTTTGGGCGAGGGATCTCCGGGGCAGTACTCGCTAGGATGGTGCTCGTCCAGCGGGTGCTCGTCGATCTCGTGCTCATCGAGCTCGTGGTCGGCGGGCTCTGGCTTGTCGGGGTCATCTTCGTGGGAATCGACGAGACGTGGGCGACTTACCTGCTATAATGGCCCGCGGCGGGCTTGGGCTTGTCGAGCAAGTGGTCGGCAGGCTCGTGCTCGTTGAGCGGGTGGCCGTGGGTCGGCGGGCTTTGACTTGCCGGGGTTGTCCTCGCAGGGAGCTGATGCTAGACGGATCTTCGGAAAGCGTGCCACAAAGCAGGTCGCAAACGAAGCTCAGATCGCTGCGGGCAGTTGCGCAGGTTCCGGTCACGGTGGCGAACACTCTGTAGATGTCGAATGCAACGTACTTAGTTAGATTAAGGATCGAGAGGGCGACTATCAATATATATACTTGAAACTTGTACCCAGCAGATCTTAGAGGTTCGCGCATGGCTACGTGCCAGTACGAGCAACAACCGCCTTGAGGGTATAGTGCGCAGCCGGCCAATACAACATGAACTATCGGTCTCATTATGTCATACAAGCATCAGGGCTTCGTGAACAGACCAGAGTGTTGAAGTACGTTCTACTTATGGTGAGCCCGCATTAGTCTGGCATATAGCAGCCAGTCACTTGAAGCCCTAGTGGTTTATGACCACTTACTATCACCCTGTTGAGTACAGACAGCCTGATACGTCTATGAACAAGTTCTGCTAGGCAAAAGAAACCTAGTTCAAATTTGCGGGCAGCCTGTTACTTCTGTTATATGTGATCATCCATTGTTTTGCCGTACCAGACCGTTGCCAGTCTGTTCCCAATTTCGCGATGGAGCCCTCGCCCAGCTTGCGAGAACCTTCGTGACGTCTATGTGCCGCCCACACAGACGACGACGCGAACTGGTCGGGTCTTGCGACTGCCCGTCCGTTACGATCCTTCGCTCTAGGACCGCGCAAGCGCGCTCCTTGAGAGGAGGTGCCAGTGGTGTAACGGCCACGTTACAACGGACACTTACCAGTGCAATACAATGTGCTATGGACTTGACTGATTAGATAGTAATGGACAATCTAGTTACAAAGGCCATTTTAGGTACTCACCAGGAACCCGACAACTCGACCCGGCCTATCCCGTATTACTTAGACTCGTGCCCTCTCGCTTGTATGTTCCTTGTCTTGCCAATGCCAGTGTCCAGGCATCCCACCCTTCATTGTTTGCGAATCCCTCGTCCGCTCGCTCGTCCTCGCGCCTCGACCTCTCAACCCATCATTACGGCCCTTGACCCGATCTGCCCGTTACAGAGGTCACACGTGACCTGAGCTGTAACTAGCGTAGTTTACCAAATACATCTTGTTCCTTGTTCCCCACGCTCATGTACAGAATAGTGTAGCTCTATACCTTCAAAGTATGACTGCTGTAGGTCATATATGTTATACAATTGGCTAGAATATGTTCCAATTGCTTCCATACCTTACAGTGGGTTCTGTTGAGGTGGGACCGTGACGCAGGCACTTCGTGACAACGCGGACACGTGACTGACGAATTGACCGTAATGGACGCGTGTAGAGTACAGCTACCTCAGTCAAGTACCACGAGGACGAGACTGAGGTAAGCTCGTCTGAACTGTATTTCTGGGCTACGAGGCTGATACTGTATTGCTAGACCCTTGTAACTTTAACAGGTACTGTAGTAATGGAGTCGAGTACCACGAGGACGAGACTGAGACCCTTGTAACTTTGTCAGGTTATGAGCCCCGTCTCGTTTTAAAACCCTCCTCCTCATCCGAATTGAGGACACTTACGGGTACAACCACCTGACTTTGACGCCCCTTGACGATCCCACGGCCAAACTCTCGTAGTTCACGCGCATACAACCACCGAAAGACCGCATATACCCACGATCCCGCATATATTCGCCATGTCTGACGACAAAGAGAAAGTCATAATCCTCCCTGAGAACTTCCATCTCACTCGGACCAATTGGGTCCAGTGGAAAAGCAAGATCCTCACGATCATCGAGCTTCAGGGCAAACTCGGGCATCTACTCGGGATGTCGACCGCTCCTCAGCCTGCTGGACCCACTCCCACTCCTGACGAAACAACCGCGCTTGCAAAATGGACCAAGGACGACCTCCATGCGAAGGCGACCTGCACGCACAACATGGACATCAAGAGTGTCGGAGTCGAACCGCTCGGATTGACAGTGTCCGAGTTCTGGAAGGCGTTATTGGCAGTGAAGGAGAGGCGGAGTGAGTTAGCGGTGCTGAACGCGGAGGAGTACCTAAAGAAATGCAAGTACGTCCATGGCACGGACATCCACGTGCACTTCGAGGAACTACGTCGCCGTCGCAAGGCATGTCGGGAGATGGGGTCGCCGCTCACTGACCATAGGTTTGCCATCATCATCTGTCAGTCGATGGGTGACGTTTACAACCACATCACCACTGGACTCCTCACGAAGTCCGACCCCGAGGACGTCATTCTGACGATCCTCGCCGTGCACGACAACGAGATGCTTCGGACCGGGCAGCCACAGAACCCTCTTGGCGTTACACAGACCACTTCAGTACCAGGCGAGCAGCAACTTACCTCGGCGTTCATGACGGCGGCAAAGGCCGCGATGATATGCGACTGGTGCCTGTGGAAGGGTCACTCGAAGGAGAGATGCTACTGCATGGGAGGGGGAATGGCGGGTCAGCAACCAGCGACCTGGAAATCGCCGCCGAGACCGAAGAAGGGCTCACCGGCCGACTTAGCTCACCCCATGGCGAGCGCTCAGGTCATGAGCGCGCCCGTGAACACTATCTCTTCCTCACCATTCGTGACGCCTACCGCAGCTCTAAACTACAACGTCTTTATGGCCAGTGCAGTCCTTGTCCAGGACGAAAAGGTCGACGGATTGATACGTGCATACCTGGACTCAGGCGCGAGCCACCATTACTTCATGAACCGCGCCGACTTCTCAGAGTATCTCCCGTTAACCCCACACTCTGGAAGCAGTGCGAAACGTGGCGCCGAGTTCACAATAATCGGGGTCGGCTGTGTCCATGCCGAGATGATGATCGGAGGACAGAGGTCGGTCGTCACCTTCCGCAACACCCTCCACGTACCTAGTGATGTTGGGGCCGGGCTGGGCCTGAAAGCCCGGGCAAGGGCCCGGCTTTAGCAGGCTCGGGCTCACCGATATTCACTGCCCAGCCCGATGGGCAGGCTCAGGCTGGGCCCTGGCCGGGCTCAGGCTCGGGCCCGGGCTCATTGCAGGGTAGACAGCAATTGCAATATTATAATAGCATCTCCACGAAACAGCACATTTACGAACACGAGAGCTTTAGAATTACTACAGCTTCGTACTTAGCCAATCCGAGTCACTATAGTATGCTGCAGAACCTTCATCTTCCTCAACATCATCGTCTAAATCGAGCTGGAGGTCCTCCATGTCAGTGCCAGAGCCTCGCACCTTTGTCTGGCCATCACTTCCCTCATCATCTCCCTCGTCGTCGTCATTCTCAGGGTCTGTCGCTGTTGATGGACCCACATCACAGAAGAAATAGTTCCTTTTGAAAGCACACTTCAATGCCTGGAGGGCCTCGACAACGTCACCCTTGAGTCGATTGCGACGTTTCGTAATGGTGATGCCTGCACTCGAAAAGGCACATTCACTGGATACAGATGTCGCCATGATAGCGAGGTAGTCACGCGCTCATCAGCAAACTCGGCAATTCCTGAGCATCTGACAGGCTGACAGAGACTCGTCAGAGTACCAGATCACTCAGGCATGTCAGACTCGCCATTTGGTCAGATGAACCAACGGGAATGCGGCACTGTTTCATTGGAAGCACTCTTCAATTTGATTTTAAATAAGTACAGCAGCTATACTATATACTCAATCATACATCTATGATGCAAAGAGCTCGCATTCATCATATTCTACTTGGATACATTTGTACGAGGACCCGCCGTCCTGTGGTTCCCCGCGTTCGGAGTATCGTGTGCTCGGGTTGTCACCGCGCGCACACACGAGCCCGCCATCTGCTTGATGCGGCCCCTGCATATCACTGAGCCCGACGTTCACCACACCCCGCACCACTTGCCCATTCGCCCTCGCCCGTGTGCGCTCGCCATCTGCCCGTCGGCTGCGTTTGCAGGCGGGGCATTTGCCCTGTGTGCTCGCAATCGCCGTGCGTGTCGTGGGGTGCGCCTGGCAGGACCGCGCCTGTCGTCCATTTGCCCCCGTACATGGATGGACCATTCAGTCGTCCATGCTTCCGTCCCGGGTCCTTGCCCTGCATGCTCACGGTCGCCGTGGCTGTGTTCCGTGCTTCGTGCCCACCATCTGCTCGCCGCCGCCAATCCCCACCAGCTGCGCGCCCGTCTCCGCCAGCCGCTCGTTGTCTGCCAGCACCACGTCCACGAATAATTCACGAGGTACTCACCGTGTATAGAACGGGCGGGTCCACCGTTCATCGAGGTCGGCTCGATGATCGTGACGAGACGTGATACGCACTGCTGAATCAATAATATTAGGAGGGCTGCGACGAGCGAGGGAATGATGGCACTGAACGGCCACCATACCCGTACCCGTACCCGTACACGTCCAGCTACCCCGCGGCAGCGGGTACGGGTGCAGCGCGGGTCAGCGGGCTTGACGGGTCACGCACAGGTCGGCGCGGGCCGGCCTGACGAGAGGGTTGGTGGACGAGAGGAGACGAGAGGGTCGACGGACGGGAAGGTCGACGGACGGGAAGGTCGACGGACGGGAAGGTCGACGGACGGGAAGGTCGACGGACGACAGGGTTGACGGACGAGAGGGTCGACAGAGTTAGGAACAACACAGAGAGAGCGGTCATGGGCGGGACAACAGGCGACCTAGATGGCAAGCGAGAGGGACAGTAGGCAAGTGGAAGCCAGACGGTGGGTAAATGGAATGGCGACTGAGCGAGGCAGCGAGTGGGCGAGTGGGGAAGCGAGTGACCGAGCGAGCGGGTGGCCGGATGAGCAAGCGGGTGAATGGGTGGGCGAGAGAGCGCGAGCGGGACACAGAGGAGCGCAGGGAAAAGATGGGAGTAGGCAGGCGAACTGGCGAGCGAGAGGGCGAGTAGGCAGACGAGAGTGCGTGCGCAAGTAGGCGGGAGTTGTACTCACCTGTTCTGTTCCTTGTCGCCCATCTCCCCCGGCTCCCTGTTGTCCTCGCTTTTCCGCATTTGCGTGTGCCTCAACACTACCGTGTATGTTGAAGTTGAGTCGACGAGGAGGAGGAGGAGGAGGAGGAGGAGGAGTCGGCGAGGCTGCAACTCGCGAGAAGTGCTAAGCGCCCACGACACGTCACGCGTGCTCGCCGCTCCTCTCTCGTCGGAGTCGTCCGCCTTTACCTGTCCGTCCCCTCGTTCCTATCTGCTTCGCCCTCGTTCCTGCCTGCTTCGTCTTCGATCACCCGCCGCCGACCTCCAGTATACAAGGCGGATCCGTCCGCGAGAAACCGCGTGGGCACCGGACCACTGCACGGCCCAGGATCGCGCTGTACCCGACCGTGACGAGCCCCCGCGACGCGCCAAGAGCATCGCTGGAGGCTCGCGAAGGGATTAGCATGTAGGGAAGAAAGGGGGCTGCGGCCAGCAGGGCCAGCGAGTCAGGTAAGTGCGCCGCCTCCTTCTGAGTCCGTTTACCACCATCAAGTCTGCCTTCGCAGGCTCAGTGCTCGCAGGTCCGTATAGTCTCACCCTCCCCATCTTTCCCATCCCCCTCCCTAACCGTCCTCTCCGCCCTCGCCCTCGCCTCCGCAGGCTCCACCTTCTCTCCATATCCCGGTCGCGGTTGCGCTCCCGCACATACATCCGCCGGAGCGGCCGCCCCGTCCACCGCCGCGCAAGGTAACACGCATGCAGCGCCGCCCCCGACACGCTCGCCACCCTCAGCGTCCTCATCTGCGGCAAGAGCTCTGGGTCCAGCGTCCCCACTACCCCGTTCACGCTTCTCGGATTCCCGGGACGCCCGCTGTGCCCCACTGCGACGCGTGGCCCGTCATACGGCAGCATGTACATGTACACGCGCCCGGCATTGTAGACGGTGACAGCGGGAAAGGCGGGGCCGCGCTCCCGAGGATGTCAAATGTGCCATCGCCCATCGTGTCACAGTGGAGCACGAGCGCGCGCACACGCGGCGCGGCGCGCAGGAGCGTGTGCCAGCTCGCAAGCGACGCGACGGTGAAGTCCTCGAGCTGAGGGAACATCGGGCGCTCCCTCGCTTTCCCTGGGCCTGCGTCGCCTGCGCCCGTGGCGGGCGGTTCGTAGAGCGTGGCGGGGTCGGGCACGGCGGGGCACGCGGTGGGGTCGGGCGCGGTGACGAGCATGTTGATGCAGGGCGTGTAGTCCTATGGGCTGTCCATGAAGCCGGGCTCGAGGTGGAACTTGCGGACGGCAGGGGCGACGAGGGCGCAGAGGAGGGTGCACGTGTAGCTGACATTGAGGTCCGCGAGCTTCAGGTCGTGGAGCCTGGGGAGGTGGACGGGGCCGTCGGATGGGTGCCAGGGGGCGGCGGGGGCCAGAACAGTGGAGGCTGGGGTGCTCGAGAGTGGGGGATCGGGCGAGGACGTCGAGCCAGCGGTGAGCCCGAGAAGGACCCAGGCCCCCGAGTACGAACACAACGAGCGGGAGCGAACCCGCCACGTGCAAGGCCGACACAGGTGCGGGCTCACTGGGCAGTAGCTCGCACATGCATACGGCACATAAGGATTTGCGGGTGGTCTTTTGTACAGTAGTAGCAGCCCATAGAACCCAATATACGTGAATTAAATCAATTTTGTATGTACTGGCTGATCTGGCTGATGAGCTGGGCTGTCTGACAGGCTGTCTGAGCATCCTGAGGATCCTGTCTGACGAGGTAACATCGAAAAAATTCGAGGTCATGAGGGCTGGAGATCTGAAGCAATCTGAAGCAATCTGAAGGCTTCTGAAGGCTTCTGAACCCCCTGACAGGGCTGTCAGACAGATTTCATGTTTTACTGATGCTAATGCCGCCCAAGTCGGAAATCGATGCGCATTCAACTATTGGAGTCACATCAGTACAGTCGATGAACAAAGACAAAGACATAAGATACTTACTCCCCACCATCGTACAATAGATGTCCCTTCAGGAATCTTTTCCTGTAGGTCGATATAGCGCTTGAATTTGTTCTCCCAAGTCTCGCGCTCGACATGGCTTGACCGGTTCCCCGGAGACACCGGCGAGTCATCCTCGTCGTCGGACAGTTCCACAATGCTAGTTGGATGTGCTCGTGCCGAAGGCTTCCTTGCGGCGGTCGAAGCCGAAGAACTTCGCTCCTGCAAACCTGCTTGAATCTGCTCGTAACGTGCCTTGAACTAAACAGGACATCAGCAATTCGACGTGAATTGAAGACACTAGTACACAGCTACTTACGAGGTCTTTCGTTAGCTCCTCGGCTGCCTCACAGAGCTCGGGCTCATCTTTCCAGTGTTGCTTGAAGTGGGCGAGACGCTTTGAAGGCTCGAGTACTGCAAAAATCAGATCAGTCCACATTTTGCAATCAAGTACGAACACGCACCAATCGACATCACATAAGCATCATTGTCACCGTCTTGTCGTAGTATTCAGCGACTTTGGCGAGTCCAGCCTGAATGGCAGGCCAGAAGAACTCGTAGTTTGCGTTCACGAGGAGTGCCGACCATTGGGCATGTAAGTCTTCGAGTGCTGGTAGTGCTAGATGGAGGGATGGGCTCTGCTCGGACGAGAAGCGCTGCTGGCAGTTGTCTGCGATCTAAGGTGACCGCGACCGTTGAGCAAGACGACTCGTGATGCAGAGACACAGGCCTTTCCAACTTACACGCAGAATCCGCTGGAATGTCTTGATGCGCGCCACTCCGCAGAAGTCGGGATGAGTGCAAGGAGCTTTGATGCGGTGAGAGCATCAGACGTTTTGCGCGAGAGTTCTGTCATGAATTGCCGGATGTGCTATAACTATTCATGAATAGATGACGAGTTGATTTCGGAGCATGACTCACCGTACGCAGGATGTATGCTCGGTTAAGCATGACATATGTCGAGGACCACCGTACCTTCATGTCGACGACAAGTGTTTTAATACTCGTCGGTTCGATGCCTGTGTGTGCCTGGATATCGCGGAAATGTTGTTTCCTCTGACTTGATGAACGCTCCTGCAATCGAGGTCAGTTTTGCTCCCCTGTAACCAGATTTACTGCGTACTTTCACGGACACAGCTCGGACGAGTCCAATCTCATCACGTACTGCTGCCGTCATCTCCGGAATGTGCTCCTCGGGCTTATGCGGGTCATAATGCGGGGACTTGCTGTGACGTGCGATCACGGCTTGTGTCGCAAGGTTGATGATGTGTGCGAGGCAACCGATACGACGCCGTGCAGGATCGAACTTCGACCCAGGGTGGTTCTTCTGAGAACCAAGGCGAACTCCTTCATCATCCTGAGGTTCGAACTTGCGTTGTCGCACGTCACCATGAAGATCTGCATGACATAGTGGTCAGTGGACATCCAGCTCTCTCGAATGAAATTGTACATACTCGTTCTGCAATCCCTACCCTTGTCGCAACCTTGAACAAAGCCTGACCAAGCCGTTTGCCGCTGTGCGACTCGTTCATGCGAACAAAGCCTATAAGGGCCGATTCGAGTGTCCAATCGTTGGTGGACCGTCTTCAACCCAATGAGCGTCACCGCGAAGTAGCCGTCGACTTGCTCGCTTGCCACGCATCACACGTCAAGCAGATCCGCCCGAGCACAGTCTTCCCCTGTACAAACACGTCAGACTCAGTACTAATAGCCAAACCACAAACAGAGACACGACGCACCGTGAACCGTTTCTTCAAGTCCGAAGATACTGATGGAACTGAGCTAAGATTTCCTGTCGAGTAGCTGAACGTTTCGGCAGCGTGACCGCGCCTTTGGCACGGGAAGCGATATTTATCATGTTGATAAAGGCGGGATGCTCGAACGCGCCAATAGGCTGTGAAGTATGCATTAGAATAGGTCCGTGTGCCAGTCACGAGAGGCGTATGGTACGTACTTGATCGGTAGCAACAAGCCACTCAATCGCAGCACTTTTGAACGCGCTATCTGAGTATGGAATGACAGGATCGACGGGGGGCCCGCTGTGCACATGGCCATCGAGTGTCGTCTGTTTCTGCGACTCCGACTCGGCTGCAGCTGCAGCTGCTCGTGCTTTGATGTCGTCCTCAAGCTTTGACTCGTATTTGTGTTTGTCGCACCATGATAGTATTTGCCCTTGAACAAGTGTCAGCGAATTGGCCTATTATCTTCGCATATATAGCACGATAGGTGTCTCGACTTTACCTTATGGTGTGCTGCCAGGTGTCGCCGCAATGTAGACACATCTTGTACGAATGTATAGTCACTGATTCGCTTCGATCTGATGAACAGATGAGTGTCAGATCTACTAGCAATGGTCACACGTCAAATCATGCTTACTTGCACGGTTCGCAGTCGCGAACCTTCTGAACCCGGCCATCCTTGGGTTCTTGCGATCGTAGGCCTTTCCGAAGAACGCATTGACATCGGCCGTCTTGTCTGCTCTAGTTGGCTTGGCAGCGACTGTGACCGGTTTGATGTGATCGAGGTCCTTGAGGATGCCATCTTCATTCACAGCATCCACATCATCGTGCTCGTTGTTTGGGGGTTCTGGGATCCCTCACTTGCCACGACACGACGAACTGGACATGGGTCATCCACACATGAGACGTATGTGGCATGATGCATGTGCAGACAACATACCTCGCTTCCGCGGCCGTGGAGCACTTGTCTGACCTTCAGAGCCATTGTCGTCTGAGTCGGAGCTGTCCACTCTCATTGTGCGCTTCCCAGCCGCCTGTCGAGGCCCGGGGCGCGTGGAGAGTCGGAGTCATCGCCATCAACATCAATGACAGCTGGCGAGACCCGTCCACTTGTGGATGACTGGGTTCCTGCGGCACGGGAATGCTATCAAATGCCTGCATTGCAGACAGTTTTGTTACGACTTACCATTGTCTTTCCCCTTCCCCTTCACGATCTCGCTCTCGGATGGCTCACGTCTGTTTGCATCCGGCCGCACCCCGCGTGTTGTAGGCTGTTCCGCATTGTCAGGGTCTCTCACTCGGGCACTGGGTCGGCAGGCACGCCGTGTTCGGCTGTCTTCTGTATTGCCAGGGTCAGGGTCATCTATAGCAGCATTAGTGGGATTACGACACCAGCAGAGATATAACCTACCTCCTCCTGCACGAAGACGGAGTCGGACAGTCAGATGGGACATGGTTCGTAGTCCGAGACTCCCGAGGGTTTGATGGTGCGCAAGTGTTGCTAAACGATGTCGCCCTGATCCAGTGATGTAGTGTGTTGAGTCGAAGGTGGATGGTATAAGTCCATGGCAGCGAAGTGCAAGCCAGACGTCACCGATCGTGTTCTCATCCGACACAACTGTACAAAATGCATCAAGCAAATATAATGGTCCGAAATTATCACAAAAACGTACGCAAGGGTATGGTCTTCGGTCCTTGAGTTCCGGCGACCCCTGATGTCGAGACTGTTCCCATGACAAATATCGTGTAAGGGTGCGAGCGTAAGACCCGGCCGAAATCGTCGGAACGCATGTTCGACACGTGTGAGCGATGGTACACCACCCGTCTCAACGATGGTAGGAGACGATCCAGAGCGATCCACACCGGGAAGCGACAAGACACTGTGTCCGCAGCATGTAAGTCAAGTGCCCACATGACTCAATCAGGCAACAGGCCACTCACCGTAGACGAAGATGGCCGAGAGGATGTACATGTACATCACTGTAAACGTCAGAGCAGTACCATGTTCGGTGCCAGGCTGGCTCCGTGCAATCATTAGAATGTGGTGGAAAGCATAGAAGAGGACGACGAGGGGCAGAACAGAGATCGTGATACACGCAGCCAGCCAGGATGGGAATCGGAAGGCTATAGCATCAGGTGTACTTGGGGCAAGATACGGCCGGTGCGGCCGGCGAGTCGCAGGCAGCCATTGTCGTGGCATTCCGCTGTCACCGCGACTCATGGCGGAACAATCGTCGCAGTGGCAGAAGACGGGGAACTCTGGAGTGAGAGCCCTCTGTGCTTGCCAGATTTAAAACTCGGGCTCACCAGTTCAGCGAACACCACGTAGCGCGACCTATGGCTCATAGAGACAGTTCCGTGCAACCGTGATGCGATATCATTCACGGTTGCACACCCCGTAACAGGCACAAGGCGGCGGACATATGTTTCTAGCTGCATAAATAATGCAATCGTAGTCTCGTGTTCAACAGAAGATCAACACGAACTACAACACAGCTCGGGTACTTAGCTACGAACTCAAGCCTACACGTCTCATGAGGGCGTTCTTCAAGCCGTGCAATGGTGCATACTCGACTCGGAGTCTCGGACGGCGGCCAGTCAAGAATGATGAGTGCGCCTCGGACTCGGACTGAGTGATCGCCAATCTCGCGCTGCATTAGTGGCATCGGCGAGCAAGATGAGTCGGGGAATCGAAGTCGGGGACCGCGTGGTGCTGGCGATACCGCAAGCCTGCAAAGCGTTCAGGCGTACGAAAGGGCTTGGGACGTCCGACGAGCTGGGGCCGCGCATCGCGCGGTCTGCTGCGCCACTTTGCTGCTGACTCATCACACCATATTTGGTACAATAAGCCCGGGTCTAGGGGGCCGGGCTCAGGCTTTAACGTTTGAAAGCCGGGCCCTTTCTACCGGCCTAAGACAGCTTGGGCCGGGCTATTAAGGGCTCGGCTGGGCCGGGTTGGGCCGGGCTTGGGCTTTCCAGCCCGGCCATGAGCATCACTACACGTACCAGAACTGGCCGCGAACCTCATATCCATATCACGGATTGACGGCAGTGGTTGTGACATTGTGATCAAGGGTGGGGAGATGCGCATCGTAGGCCAAGGCGGAGGAGATCCTATCCTCGTCGGGAGGATGACGTCCGGGAACCTTTATGAGGTCGTCTTGACCCGCGTCGATGGACAGTTGATCCCGAATGTGATCACGACCCCGGGGGAGTCAAACGCTCTGGCATCCCTGACAAACGCGAAAGCAGCCGACGTCCACACCTGGCACCGCCGGTTTGGGCATGCCAGCAAGCGCACGGTGATGGAGATGGCTAGATCCAGAGTGGTGACGGGCATGGAAGTGGTCGGAGGAATGCCTCTCGGGAAATGCGAAGACTGCATTAAAGGAAAGCACCCACGCAAGCCCTTCACGTCGTCGAGCATCGAGACGGAAGTCTGTGAGCACATATACATCAACCTGACGGGAGGCGCATGAGAGCCCTCGTTGGGCGGGGCTTACCACAGTATGACACTCCACGACGGCAAATCATCATTTGAGGTAGTTAGTGTTGCTGCAGCTCGCTAAGCCACAAGCATAGCTTATAAGCCAATAACTCAACTTAGAATAACATTGTCTAGCTTAGTCAGCAAGTCAACTCGCAGGCTAGGCACCGAAATCAGTTTGGGCTCGTGGCTCTGAGCCAGCTCTGAGCTGGTCTTTGAGTAATTTAAATCGAATTATAATCAATTATCAAATGGCGGTACTCTGTTAGCTCACGTCGAGGTGTTCGCCACACCGATACTCCTGTAATGCACTCGCCGCCAGTAGAACAACACATCTATAGTGTGCCCATTGCCTGCATCTGCAAACCACGCCCGCCGGCCCACTTTCTGCTTACCGCGCCCGCCGGCCCACCTGCTTCCTGCGTACTGCACACGATACCGCACTCGCCCCCTGCATACCGCACTGGCGCCCAATTTGGGCCTCCTTCTTCCTCGCACGCTCGCCCTTGCCCTCTCTCTGTTGTCACTCTCACCCTCACGTTCGTCAATCTCGATCGTCCGTCGTCCCTCTCGTCCCTCTCATCCCCCTCGTCCGGCTCGCCCGCGCAGACTGGTGCGTGATCCTTCATACCCGTTGACCCGCGCTGCACCCGTACCCGCTGCGGCGGGGTAGTGGGGCGGGTACAGGTACGGTCACAGTTCAGTGCCATCATTCCTTCAGCTCGTCGCAGCCCTCCTAATGCTATTATTTCTGCAGTGCGTCTCGCATGTCGTCACGATCATCGGGCCAGCCTCGACGAACGGTGGGCCGCCCGATTCCATGCACGGTGAGTAACTCACGATTTATTTGTGGACATAGCGCTGGCACACGACGAGCGGCTGGCAGGGATTGGCGGCAGGGATTGGCGGCAGCGAGCGGACAGTGGGCACGAGGCACGGAGCACGAAAGGTGCAACCTCGGCGACCGCAAGCACGCAGGGCAAAGACCCGGCCACGGAAGCACGACCTACCGAACGGACCATCCATGTACGAGGGCAAGTAGACAGCGGGCGCGGCGGTGCCAGGCGCACAGCACGTCACGCACGGCGATTGCAAACACGCAGGGCAAATGCCCCGCGTGCAAACACAGCCGACCAGCGGATGGCGAGCAGACATCAGCGAGGGCGAGTGGGCAAGTGGCATGAGGCTGAGCGAACTGCAGAGGTCACATGGAGCGGACGGCGGGCGCGGGTGTGTGCACGGCGACAAGCCCATATGTCACCCATGGTTCACCACCGACACTGGCGGTGAACCCGGGTAGAGTACTCACCATAGATGCCGGTTCGTGAGGGTGTACTCTGTCGGTAGCCATAGTCTTTGTGCGAACGACGTTACAATGTATTCTAGTAGGCTATAATGAACAATAGGAGCTCTTCGACCGTAGAACAGTGTATCTAAAATTAAATCAAAATGCGACTCAAATGAAGCAGTCCCGAAATCCTGACCAAGACGGTGGCGACGCACGGGCGAGTGAAAAGACGCGAGGGCGAGCGAAAAGACGTGAGGGCGAGTGAAAAGACGTGAGGGTGAGCGATGATATGCGTGAATGAATGCAACGACCATCGTCGCTGCAATGAAATTACAACATGCATTCGGAGCGGGCGAGAACGTGAGCGTTACGATGCAAGCATCGCGCAGTGCTACCGTAAGTAAGTACTTGACACACGGGGACAGACACGACGGCGAAGGGTATAGCGCGTGATGATACAACATTGGCATACTAACAATAAAGTACGGCCTACAGGTACACAAAACATCAACCTACACAACGCCGGCCTGCTTCTTGCCAAAACCATAGCCAGAACCTATCACACAGACATGGAACATCAGTAATCATTGTTTCGAACTTCGATTAATACTCACCTTCACTAGGCAGTGGCCTGCAAGTCCCCTTGCCATTGTACGGTCGGCCGATGCACGCCGGCTCAGAGCCGACTCGTTCGGTAGCGCTTTGAAGAAGATGGTGCAGATAAAGATAGTCGGGGTCTCCCGTGAATGGGAGACTACGGATGTATGTGACGAATGTGGTGAGTTCGAGGGGAAGATCGTGGCAAAGAGCGCAGGAGACAGCGACTGTTTTCGGTGAAAGATGTCGTCAGTCGCGAGGTCTTGCCAAGGGAGGTATCCGCGGAGAAGATAAATAATAACATATGCGAGCGACTCCAAATCATCACGACGCGAGTGTGCAATGCCAACGTGAACGTTGACGGACGCCCAGAGAGCAGTTCCGGTGAGTTGTAAGCCGTCGCGGTAAGGAATGTGTAAATGCTGGATGGGGTCTCGATATTGCTTTGCGAGGCCGAAGTCGACGAGGAAGACCTTCTGTGACAACGGTTCAGGGCCAAAGAGGAAGTTCGAAGGCTTGATGTCTCTGTGGATGTAGTCACGGGCGTGCAGTCGTTCTAGGATTGCGAGCTGAAACATCCTATGTGAGTTTATGCCAACGTCGCAGAAGAGACTACGCACCATTTGATTGCCAAACACCAAAGCAGCTTGAAGGCCGAACACAGGCTCACCGCCTGGAGGCGATGAGGCAAGTGATGGTCCTAGAAGATCCAAGACGAGGACGTCGTATCCGTCCTCGGCCCCAAACCAACGAGCACGAGGGATACCGACCATCCTTCCTAGGTTTTTGTAGACGGTAACCTCGTGCTCCAGGCTTGATCGTGTACGATCGACGCGCTCGAGTTTAATCGCTACATCGACCATCTCAATGATGTCGACGGCCTCGTATACCTCACCTGAGGACTGCATGAGCAAAACGAGATTCAGTATGGTATGCCACGTACCAAACGACCCGGATCCGATCCTGGTCTTCAGCCGGAACCTGCCTCCAATGCGTGTGCGAACAAGGCTAATGGACATGACTACAGTGATGAAACGTGAGCACCGCAATAATAAAGGATACAAGCCACTCACTGAAGGAACTGATATTGTACAGGGGGGAGGGGGGGGGGAACGAATGACAGTTCTTATGCGACTGCGGTGGGTATATAGGAGGTTGCCCGACGTATTATTAGCGAACGTATGAGCGACCCACGGTTCGTAGTCGTAGATGAACGCTGAGCGCTGAGCACTGGACTCCCACGCCCAGTGACTATTAGTGACCTCGAACTTCCGGTGCATCTACGTACTCACTCGCTACACAGGTGCTCGCTCGTCAGCTCTACTCACCTATATGTTCAGATCAGAGATCACCACCGACGTCAACGAGCCAAGGTGCCGAATGCGAAGGCGCACCCTCGCTATGATGTGTCAGACTCAACGCTCACCAGATGTCATCTCAGGTCGCCTGTACCTAATCCGTGCGGTTGTCTCGCTCTTGCTCCCGGATTTCATCTTGATCATTGCCTCCTTCATTGTCCGCTCCGTCAGCACTCGCAAGGGTCTCGCAAGGGTCTCGGCGGTCAAACGTGCAGTGGCCTTTGATGGTGAGTTCCATTGAAACACGCTCACTGGGCAATGTGCTGAGCTGCCACAACCACTCTCGCCCTCTGCATGTTTCGGGAAACTGCGTCACTGCCAAGGACTTAGCCTTAGCGAATGTCAACAGCATGAATATATGTACAGGTAAGTGCTAGCTGGCCCGCGTACAAGACTGAGTCCGTGCAATGTACAGCCTGACCTAGGGCATCTTGAACACGTCAGATTCCGACCTGCCCACTCATCCGCCCACGCGTCTTCTCACTCATCAGCGCACACGTCTCGCTAACGCATTTGCTGACCATTAACTCCGGGTCGCCCGCTCGTTCCTGTCCACCCATCCGCCCATCAGGCTGATTGGTGCGGGACCCGTGCGCATTTTCAAATGCTCATTATAGCTTCACGTACACGAGACTACATCTCCATTTACTACTAGTAGCACTCACCACTCTGACTCTCCGATTGTGCAGACACCTGAAGTACTGGGTGAAGCCAGTCTGGACGCCCTCGCCCTCGCTTTGTAAGACCGCGGCATCGCAAAGTGCGTAGGCAGTGCGAGTTTGCATATACTGACTAAGCAGGAACCGGTAGTAGTAGCTAGGCCTGAGGAACGTACACGCAAGCCACGCGAGGCTCTCAATTTCCCCGATATCAAGGCAATCATGCGTGCGTTCCAGTTTGTGTATGACAGGACTTGGCAGGTGCTCGTAGCACTCACGTTCTGTCAATGCCTACAGAAGTCGTCAAAGCCGCAAATCAAGGCAAGAAACCCAAGGCGAAGAACTGAAGCACAACAGCTAAGACTCAGCAATGTTGGCGAGCGGCGGGCGCGTGCGAGCGAGACGAAGGCGTGAACAGGCGTGAGTGCGGTACGCAGGGTGCGCGGGTGCGCGGTACGCAGGGAGCGGGCAGGCGCGATATGCAGGGAGCGGGCAGGCGCGATATGCAGGGAGCGTGCGGGGCGGTCAGTCACACGAGGCACGGAGACTTCATTCCGCGAACATTGAGTTATTTTTCAGAATAGATGCGGATTCGGGTGATACCAATGAACCACTCTTGATCATCGGATGGGCACTTGGTGCGCTGCAGGCGACGAGAGGCAATGACTCGTGACGATGATAGGTAAGATATTGTACACCAAGACGTACACCGGTATGCTCGCAGCCTTATGTACTACTGACGGTTTCTAAGGAAGGCAAGCTACTCGAGGCGCCATCCTGTAGTGGTTTCAATCAGAAGAGGAGAACTGATAGGTATGTCCCTCTCACCTCGGTGTCCGTGGATCCGAATGACTCTGCGATGCGCACAGCGTGTTCCGCAAGCGGCAGGACGTCGACCCAGTCGATGTCTTGCTGGGTAAGCAACGCTTCCAACGCCAAGCGAATGCCGTGTAGGATCGTCGCTTGACGCATCGGTAGGACGGGTGAGTCGCGCAGGAGGATGGCGGTGAACGCGATAATCATCTCGACTGGCCCGCGCGCAGCATGAACCCTCTGATGCGCGCGTCCGAGTCGGGTCCTTCGCCAGCCCCAGCCGCTGGAGCGAAGGTAAGCAACGGTCTTCAAGAAAGTGCATATTGTGCACGAAGCAAGCATTCAATCAGTCAAGTACGAGTGAGACGAACACATGTTCAGAACTTACGTGCAGCGCGAGACTCTCTGCGAGTAGGTTGGTGCTGGCAAATGCAGCCGGATCGCTGGCACTGGCATGCGAGCGACACGCGATCCCCTTCGACAAACTTTCTTCGCTTGGCAGGAGCTGCTGCAACTGCTCCGCAGTATAGGGCTTGTGGCCACTGGCTATAAATTTGATGATCAGAGGCGGCTCAGTAAGACTCAGATTCTCGGAACGTCAAACGACTCACCAGCACTGCACCGAAGATGAGAGATGAGGCAGCCCATGTCGAGTGCGCGATGTGGGAGACACGAGAGGACTGACCACTGAACTAACTTGTTTTCTATATCTTTGAGAGATCGCCTTCCACGTCCGCCACTTCCGTGCGAGTTTGTGTCAGGGATGTCGGAGGTCCGAAACGGTACGTGTGGTGTGCAAGGTGCAGGACTTACACGGGCTTTGGCTGCAATAGAACATCAAGAAAGCATCCTTCCAATTCAGCGCGTTCAGAAGTCGAAGAAGTCGACAAACACATTAATATCGCAAACATGAAGTGAAACACACCGCGCGGTACTTCTGCTCACCTCGCCAATCGCATCACTCCAGTTTTAGTGAGCTTGAGTCATAGAAGGAGAAGTAACTAACTGCTGACCTTATCACTAGACACGAGAGTCATTCCTAGCTCTTGGGTCTCACGACAACGGCTTCGGCATTTTTCCTCTAAGGTGAGCTATAATTTCAAGATCTCGGTCTGGCGTACTAATCGTGGCGCGAGGTTCCACTGAGAAGCCTCGAACGCACGACTCAGGGCATCGGAAGTTGCACGCATGCCTTCTGAAGAGTTATAGTGCCGGTTAGTCTTTGACATTGGAACTTCGAAGTTTTTGAAACACGCACGAGTAATATTTACCCCTCTTGAATCCTATTAGGCGAAGTGATCATGGCCCAAAACGGTGTCGATGATCAGCTACCTTCCTGCACAGACGGTCTGACTCGTCCGAGTCGCACTCTGAAGTCGAGTCGTCGGTGAGCGAACCAGTTGAGTTAAAGTGCCGGTGAGTCCCTGACATGACACTTCGAATTCGTTGAACACGCACGAGTAACACTTACTCCCCTTGAATCCTATTAGGCGAAACGATCATGGCCCGAAACGGCGTCGATGATCAGCTACCTTCCTGCACAGACGGTCCGACTCGTCCGAGTCGCACTCTGAAGTCGATGATCAGCCTCGTCCGAGTCGCACTCTGAAGTCGAGTTGTCGGTGAGCAAACCAGTTTATCATTAAAAAAAGCGAATATATTCTGATGATACAAAAGGGAATGTAGTCCGTCCTACTGCTGGCAATGGCTCCTCCGAATCGCGTCCAGAGGGGAGCAGAGATGCCTGCCTCCCAGGCAGCATTGCACGCCGGCGGCGAGGTAATCGACATCTCGGACAGAGGTTAGTCATAACCCCTTACTCATGCCGTACATACTCTGATTAGCCGTAGCGATTGACGCAGCGTTCCCGGACGTTGCCCGGGCGGAGGGCGGCGTGCCTGGTGGCTTGCACGCCCCGCCAACGACTGCCACTAGTCTTCAAAACCAACCTGCACCGACGGACAGCTCAGGCTCTCGCTCAGGTCGCCGCACTATCTATCGTGCCGCCGATGTCCCGAGGCCGGTGACGCCAGTAGCGCCACCGCCGTCGATCGCAGTCCCGCCACCAGGCGGATGGCCAAGTTCTGTCAGTAAACAAGGTAAAAAGCAGGTCGCGCACGACATCAACCATTTCTTCGATCACAAAAATAAGACGGAACAAGGAATCATGCTGAAATGGTGTCGACTTTGCATGTAAGTATTACTAGCACCCATCCCTATTGTTCTGACTCGGAACGTGATGCTGATACTGAGTAGGCAGCGCGTGTACGCTGACCCTAATGCCGAGTTTTCTTTGATGGTGGCGTATGGGCCAAATACAGGTGGTGGCGCGCTTCGAGGGCACTTGACACAAGTGCATCCGGACGAATACAACACCGTCTGCGAAGTGACTGGCTGGCAATACTTGAACACGGACCGTACTCAGCCTCCGGACACGTCCACAGCGGCTGGCACATCTGGTACAGCCGCCACGTCACTCGTCCCGACTCTTGAAGCGACTCGACAGGAGTTCACTCAAGACGTTTTTCTATCCTCGTTGGTTGATTTCGTAGTTGGAACCGATCAGGCGAGTTCTACGCCATCTTTTACACGTCTGTTGAGACTGACTTTCATTCAGTCTTTGAATGTCGTCGAGAGTAGGGAGTTTCGGGCGCTCATGCTCGTTCTGCGCTCTGAGTTGCGCGACAAAGACATTCCTCACCGCACCAAACTGCGGGAGCTAATCATCAACCGATGGAAGCTCTTCTTCGAGGACGTCAAGAAGGAGCTTTTGGTGTGATTGCTCTCTGCTCATGCTTGGGGGCGTACTGATTTTGGTAGAGCGCTCCGGGGCGTATCAACTTCACGGCCGATATTTGGAGCGATCAGCGTCGACGGGGTTACCTCGGGGTGACGGCTCATTGGCTCGCCTTGCGCAAGGGCGATGGAGAGTCGTATCTCACGATGGAGTCCACGTTGTTCGCCTTTCATTATCTGCGAGGAAGACACACCGGCGAAAACATCGCGCTCCTCATGATCAACCTCTTCAAGCGTGCGGAGCTCCCCTGCGAGAAGGTAGTGATTCTCTTTCTTAAGTATTAAGCACTGACAACCTCAATCGAATAGATCGGGTTTTTTACCATGGACAATGCGTCCAACAATCTCACATTCCTAAGCAGCTTGGAACGCAACATGAGGCTCGACAGCCCCAACCTCGACTTCGTCGCACGTTCGCGGTATATCCGCTGTTTCCCCCATACGGTCAATATTTGTGCTCAGGTCGTCATCCGTGCGTTCTCGAAGGGTACCATCTCACCTTCTCACGACGAGAGCGACGACGAGGACGGTGAGGATGAGAACGATGGCGAGAATGACATCGACACCGACGAGGACCTCCAAGGAGACGATCTGGAGACCAATGAGTTTAACTACGCTGCCTCGAGATCTAACCACCCAGTTATTCTGCTCATGCGTGACGTCTCCAAGAAGTTCCGGAACTCAGATTTCAACAAGATGAAATTCAAGACGATCTTGCAACACGGAAATGAAACACGCAGCTTCAAGAATGCTCGAACCAATCAGGTCATATTGGTTACGGACCGCGAATTCATCCTTGACGCTCGCACCCGGTGGGACTCTACCTATGCGATGTGCATCCGCTTCATTGAGCTACGACCGGTACGCACTTTCACATAATGCTGCTCCCATTGAATTTACCTTCTTCTATGTAGGCACTGGATACCTTTGGGCTCTTTGAGCGCAACTCGGACATCACGCCAATGATCCCCAACGTCGACGAGTGGTACTTGATCGAGGATCTTTATGAACTGTTGAGGGTACGTCGCGTGATTTCATTGACCCTCGTTATGTTGTGCTTAATACCTATTCCAGCCCCTGCACGTCATGCAAACCATGATGTCGAAGGAGAAGTCGCCGATGCTGGCCGGATCGGTCATGGCGCTCGAGAAAATGATGACGGGGTGGGAGGCACTCTCCAAGAAGAAGCCCCATCTTAAGGGTGTCATCGAGGCAGGACTGAATCGCGCGAAGAAATACTACAGGTTTATGGACGACAGTCCCGTGTACATCATCGCGATGTGTAAGTCTCTGAGATTCTAATCATGCACCTTGCTCACACGGAACAGTTCTCCACCCGCATATGCGTTTCTCGTGGATCGCCGCTAATTGGGGCGCATCGTGGGTCATCGACGCATATGCGATCGTACGTCGGATGGTAAGTATGGCAGCATCGGTCAGGTCGTCAATACATCGCTGATGCTCATATGTACTATTACAGATGATCAAATACTACGAATATGTCAGACCGGCCACGTCCACGTCGTCTGCCGAGTCAACATCTCAGCTGTCTGGCGCGTCGACGTCGCAAGTCTCTGCAGCAGGGGCTCCCTCGTACTACACCGTCGCTGATGCGCTTGGTAACGAGGTCCGCGCAATGGAGACCGACTTTCGTGAAAGAGCTGCACAAGGAAACGACGAGCCTGTGGAAAAAATCGTTGAGCGTGAATTTCAGTCCTACCTTCACTCTCCACCGGAGCGGGAGGACGTCGATCTTCTCAAGTTCTGGCATGTGAGTACATTCCTGAGGTGAAACCACAGCTGTCTAATTTCTTTTTCATCAGAGATCACAGGTCGCGTACCCGATCCTGTACCGCATTGCCCTCGACTATCTGTCGGCACAGTCTTTGTCGGTGCCGGCGGAACATGCTTTCTCGGCCGGTGCGGAGACCGACACAAAGCGTCGCAACCGTACCTCGCCGATCCTGATGGAAGCGCTACAAATGGCGAAGTTCGAGATCAAGCGAAGGGTTAGTAACGGCCAGGAAGACCCAATCGACTTCACTACTGGTTGGCAGTCTGTGGAAAGTGATTTCCAGGTGCTCCCTCGGATGCAAGACATGCCGAGATTAGGCGATCTGTTGCTCAGCGACGCCGAGAACGCTATGGACAGTTTGCTTCGTCGGCTCAACCAGCTAGACCCTGCGCCTACGAACGAGCCGTCGGGCTGAGCTGCCGCACAAGACCTTTGTCAACGTCAATATCAGTGAGTCTTTCAGTGCGGCTTCCTTCGGAATTTGACTCGAATCATTTATGTCAGGCGTCATGACCGTAAACTCGTTGCAATGTCCTGTAGGTCTTGTTAGTACGACTAGATGATCCATCGTCGATTTTCTTGCTGAAACGCGTAGCAGTGATGTCAGTTAAAGTGGATTAACAAGGGTACTTAGAAGTACCTTAGGTCAGATTAACTTGGTACACTAATGTACTTCCTAATCTGTGATCCAGTATTGATCCAGGATTAGCAAATTGGATTTAGAGTTTGGATCAGTGTCATTAATCCTGGGCTAATCTGGGTGGATTAATACCAGCTAATCTGATGAGGCTACTGGATTAACTGATGATTTAAAGTGGATTAAGAAAATAAATGGCACCAGCCAGGATTGAACCCCTGACCTCATGCAATATTACATAATCACCTATTTGAGTCGGACTCTCTGCACTCTAACCACTTCACCATATGGTTGTTATAAACCTAGAAACACAATGCCATATGACACATTCTCTGAATGCTAGACTTAGACATATTCTGGCCCTCTGTTACTGTGCTCTGCACATACCTGGTTAATCTGCAGATTAGTACTGGATTAACACAAGCTGATCTTTCTGGATTAGTGGTGCTAATCCTCAGTCCCATCTTGTCTTAGACCAGCTGTGTTGCTGCATGGATTAACAAAGTTAATCCAGTGGATCAGAGCATACTGATCCAAATCTCAGTGATGGATTAGTGTACTCTAAATCTGATCTCAAAACTGGCTTAAGTGTAGATAAATCCTGGTCTCAGAATTGGATTAACTGTGAGTGTAATCTTGGATTAGAGATTTGGATTGGTACAGTTAATCCAGTTTTAAATCCAATTCTGAGATCAGGATTAGAATGTATTGATCCATGATCTATCTACACTTAAGCCAGTTTTGAGATCAGATTTAGAGTACACTAATCCATCACTGAGATTTGGATCAGTATGCTCTGATCCACTGGATTAACTTTGTTAATCCATGCAGCAACACAGCTGGTCTAAGACAAGATGGGACTGAGGATTAGCACCACTAATCCAGAAAGATCAGCTTGTGTTAATCCAGTACTAATCTGCAGATTAACCAGGTATGTGCAGAGCACAGTAACAGAGGGCCAGAATATGTCTAAGTCTAGCATTCAGAGAATGTGTCATATGGCATTGTGTTTCTAGGTTTATAACAACCATATGGTGAAGTGGTTAGAGTGCAGAGAGTCCGACTCAAATAGGTGATTATGTAATATTGCATGAGGTCAGGGGTTCAATCCTGGCTGGTGCCATTTATTTTCTTAATCCACTTTAAATCATCAGTTAATCCAGTAGCCTCATCAGATTAGCTGGTATTAATCCACCCAGATTAGCCCAGGATTAATGACACTGATCCAAACTCTAAATCCAAATTGCTAATCCTGGATCAATACTGGATCACAGATTAGGAAGTACATTAGTGTACCAAGTTAATCTGACCTAAGGTACTTCTAAGTACCCTTGTTAATCCACTTTAACTGACAAAGATGCGCGTAGCCATGTACGATGCTCAGGCGGCGTGACTCGGATGTGTCAGATGTACAATGTATCTGTTCTGTTACTTCCATGTTGCATGTACGATAGCGTAGGATGACTCAGGTGGTGCTCGATACACGATTCTCGCACTGGATATGTTGATGCAATACACTAGTACTTCGATTCTGCAACTTTGCTGTGTGTAAGATCGCCCGACGCCACTGGCAGTTTGCAAGCGCCCGACAGTGGTGCAATGCGCCTCATCCCTCGCAAGTAATATTATTTGCCGATGTTAAATCTTCATTTGAATCATTCCTCCTGTATGTTATTAGTAGGTCTGTCAGATTTTGTCTCTTATTCTTCAACGCTGATTGCACTAACAACTTTAATCGACTGGTCGGTCAGCGTCAAACGCGCGACGCGGTCCTTCGGCGCTAAAGCACTAGTACCGGCTCCCTCACGTCGCACGACCAGCTCTGAAATTGGTGAGACCTTGAGGTCCCCATCGTCTATCTGAGCAGCGAAAACTGACTGCGTCTAACAGGTTGGAACTTTTATTGGAACTTCTCGCTCCACAAGAAGGCCAGCAGACGGCAGCATGTAACGTGGTCAAGGAGGGCACCGATGATCAGGTCGTCTGCGGAGGAGATGGCTCTCTGGTGCGGATGCCTTCTGGTCCGAATGTTGGCATATTGATGCGTTGCGCGCAGCCGGTACGTGATACTCAGCACCTCATGTATTGTATCAGACGCTGCTCAAGTTTCACCAGAACTTGAACTATCTCCACCTTGACTACAACATGTCCTTGAAGCCGGTGACGACGCTCACGACCAAGGAGCATAAGAAGTCGCGATCCGGCAATGCCTTCCATCTCTGCCGTGAAATCTGTCGTCTCACGAAGTTATTGGTCAACGCGCACATCAAATTCCGTCTCGGCAACGTCGATGCATCCCAGCTCGTGGATGCGTTGCAGTACATCTTCGCGCACATTGGTGCCCTTACGGGAATGTACCGTTACAAGTACAAGGTCAGTCGTCCTCCTTCTCAGCGCAAGTACCCCTCATGCTGACCCCTTCCCGCCGCTTAACTACAAGCACAACACCAAGCTCCTGGTGCTCGCGCTGGAGAAGCTCAAGGAGGCGTATTCGGTCAAGGGCCGCTTGAACCAGTCGCAGCACCAGGAGCTGGCGCTCATCGACACTCTCGTCAGCGTGTTCTCTAAGGACAACCCGCAGGTTCTGCTCTCACTGGGGACGAAGTTCGCATCCTCACCTCGACCCTCGCATCCGTCTTCGATCGCACTGCTTGTTCGGTAGAGTGGAGGTGACTAGGTATGGGTGTAGCATGCCCGCGCTGTGAGTTTCATTCTCACCACTCTTGCACCTAGCGCTGACTGTGGCTGTTCACGCACTGACATACAGACCTGCTGTGGTGTAGACCATGATCAGCATAAGAAGACGTTCTATTTCGTCGAGCCCCATCTCACGGTCACAAACCCGATGTACACGCCTCCGTTGACCACGGACCACCTCATGGGCATCACGTTTAGATCGGCATCTCGAGCTGGTGAGTAATATGTTCATTTGTGGTACGTTGCCTGACTCCGCTGTGCAGTGTAGAATGCATGTTCCATCGCCAGCAGGTCGCACAAGTGTGCCCCTACCGCCTATTCCGTAAATTCGTTCTGTATAACTCTCAATTACCATATGTTTCTAGTTTCGTATCCCATCGGGCTGTCAAATATAGATGTCAGCTGTTTGTTCCACTGCCGCGACGTAGCTACACGATCTTTATCAATTCCAAGTATACATGGTGGGCGGGAGAATAACCTGAGGCTCCCTTAGACTCCCTGATAGCTGGCTGTGATCAGTCGGCTTCAGTTAGCGCCCGACCTGCGTTGATCCTGACTGCCAACACCGCCGTGACAGTCCTCCCTTTAGCTTTAGGCTCACAGCATGCCTGGGACTCGGTGGCGGGTACATGGACTTGAAGCTCTTCGAGAGCACTTCGGCAGGTGTCTGGCTGACTGGTGGCTCGGGCCCGTTTGTATCCCCACTGTCTACGGTCATCGCTTCTTGATCTCGCCGACTACCTCAAGTGTTCCTTCTACGAATACTTCAACATCATTGCAAGCGACCGAACTGTGAAGTCACAAGGAAGGGAGGGATGCAGCGATGGTACAAATGGTGAGTACTGATGTCCGTGTATTCTACGAGTTGCACGTCGTGAGGTCCTTGGCAAGCTCGAGGTAGGTACCATTCGTCTGGCTACGCTTCCGATACCCATCCTCCCGTATGTCTTCCTCGTGTGCGACGTCGTAACGAAACTCCCCCCAACAGAAGAGATGTCATGGACACCGGCGAGTATGGGCGTGAACATGGACAGCGGCAATCGTGAGAGTCGTGTAAAGGCTGCCTAATGTGAGTATGATAGGTATGCTCTTGCTATGTTTCGCCTGCTCGGGTATAACGAGCGTGATCTGGTCCTCAGATATCTGGCAGCCAGACCACATCTTCCGTCTGTTTCCTTCGAAACATTCCCGGCGCGCGAATTTTGCAATGACATGGCCAAGCCACAGTGCGTCCATCTCCTATTCCCACCGGCCCTCCTACCATTGTGACATTGTATGCCCGCACAGACCGACTGCTGCCGTCCGGAATGAAAGTAAGTTTTCCGCGCTCAAAACCTTTGCGGCCATCCACATGCCCTCATCGCAGCGACACGCTCCGTCGCCCAGTGGCTGTTCCTCTCTGTCGACACCGGTTCCATCACCGTCAAGGCGCACATCGTCACCATCGATGAGTGCGAGCCTGCGCAGCCTCGACAATTTGACGCTATTGCGGCCGTGCTCACGCCCACGATGCTCCATGGTGAGTGTGTCAGCGCTGGCATGATTCTGGAGGCGGAGGTCGCGAGGCAACTTGGTGTTGTCAGTCAAATCGCAGTCGGGCGGTTGACGTGTTGCCTCAGGGCGTACAACCTCCCCATGTCCCTCTCGGACCTCCGTGTCGCTACCTGGTGCCAAGGGCCGGCTTCGGTGCTATTGTCAGTCGATACTCTGATGGCTCGACGTCTGTGTCACTCTCGGAGCGCCGAGGCGGTGCAGGTCAGAGTAGCTAAAAGACACTCCAGTATGGACGGTGTTCTGTCGCCGCAGACAGCGTCCATACAAGACATTGTTGGAGGTGGTCAGGGTCGTGGCGGGCATCCCGACGAAGAGCCCTGTTACAATGGCTACTCGAAGAGTATCTGCAATGGTGCGCTGCTCCTCGCTGCCCTTGGACAAGTTTCTCTGTCGAGATCTTCGAATGGTATGAACATTTACCTCGTTAATGCCGAAACTGCTGCACGGTTCCTCGCTAAGGTCTGCACACTCGTGTAGGACTCAGTGCCAGGCGAGCACACAGTTATCACCGGGAACACGCGCACGAAGTAGCGCCAGATCGGCAGCAACATCCAGTATGATGGCAGTATCTCGAGGCCCAGGGCTGTCTCTCGCTCCCACTGCCTTTGCAGGACTGAAGGGCACACGGATCAAGCTCGCTGCGAGCGTCTCCAGCCAATACGAACTTGAGAGTCATACTGGCTGCTACATATGGCGACACGACGAATGCGCAGCGCTGCACACCCGACGTGCCCCACCGTTCTACATCCAGCCATCGCACAATCAGCACGCCGAGCCCAAGGTTCGACGTACAGACTACCGACCAGCACCAAACATCGACGAGTGCAGGTACATTCTTGACGGATGTACCCACTCCGACACCTACTTGCCCGCATCCGCGCCCACGCCAGCAAGTGTAATGCTGAACGTAGAGTCCGTCGTACACGTTGCTGGCCAGGAAGACAACCTGTTTGCACTGCAGGATGACCTAATGGTCGTGCCTTCCGAGCTGCAAGGCCGCACACCGGCAGTAGGGGACGACCGTCTTGCTGTGTGCACCATACGCGCAGGAACCGATCACCCGATCACCGTCGAGCAGACTCGAGCTGACGGGCGGCAGGTCATCTCACAGCCCTACATTGACATGGCTGTCGCGATGATGTGCACGTTCGGTGTGGGTATCATCGGCGAGAAGCATGCAGCGGTGGGCAGGCTCCTCGACGTATACCATCCCGAGGCAGGTGTACACGAACTCACCAAATCACAGCATTGAGTCGGATGCGAGTAGCGCGACTTACGGTAAACGAGTCGTTGATAGAGATCGATAGATAATAATAAGTATTACTTAGCCAATTTCAATGCTATAAAAGAATCTTGAGCCGGCTCTGAGCCACGGGCTGAGCTCGGTCAAATGTTAACTCAGCCAGAGATGAGCTTATAGTTCAGACCAGGAGTTACATATGCAGCTCGAAAGCTATCGCGGAAAAGCCGTATTTCGAGCCGACTTAAGTCGATTAAGCGCCGAAGCCGCGGCAACACTAGACGCAAGAGTGGAAGTAGTAGATGAGAAAGCCGGAAAGGTCATAGGCGATGGACAGACCGTTCAAGAGGCGTGGCGCCACCATCTTGCAAAGAGGAAAAAGAAGGACTCGGAGAGGCAAGGAGACACAGGTGAGTACTGATTGCAGAGCTGCTAATCAAACATTGACACGCTTGCTTACCGTAGATGAAAACGAGTCTCCTAGATTGCTGTGGGAGCCGTTCGAATCCGAAACGGACTGGGAGATAGTGTCCTGGTGCGTCAAAGAGGGTATTAGTCAGGGTGCTGTAGACCGTTTCCTTAAAATACCTTCGGTGCGTTTGTTGCGATCTGTGCAACTCCAGAGTCTGACTGAGTACCCAGGTGAAGGAGAAACTCGGGTTGTCTTACCATAACACGAGAGCTCTCCTTCAAAAGGTTGACTCCCTACCGGAGCGAGCGCGGTGGAAGGAACGATGGTTATCGTTCAAGGATCGGCCAGGCGAACGGCACCTCTTGCAGTTCCGCGACATAATCGAAGCCATCAAGGCTCTACTTGGAAATCCCGCTCACGCCGACCATATCGTTTACCGGCCGAGCTGGATGTTCTCTGACACGTCGAAGAAGAACCGTATTTATTCAGAGATGTGGACGGGGAAGTGGTGGCACGCGGTACAGGTGAGTCGCATTTTGATTAGTCAAAGACGATGACCAACATTACCTTGAATACAGAGTCTCCTCCCGACTGGCGCAGCGTTGGCACCGGTCATCATCTCGACGGATAAAACTCAACTCACGCAGTTCTCAGGCAATAAATCGGCTTACCCTGTCTATCTGACTCTCGGCAACATTCCGAAGGCCCTGCGACGTAAGCCCTCGGAACACGCTTGTGTACTGATCGGTTACTTGTCCGTAGACAAAGTGGACTCAACTGGGCTCACCGAGCGCAAGCACCGCGCTCTGGTGCAGCAGCTCTTCCACTCGTCTGTCAAGATGATACTCAAGCCTTTGATCGAGGCGGGGAAGAAAAGAATCGACGTTACAGGAGGTGACGGAAAGGTTCGCCGCGTACACCCAGTTCTTGCGTCGTACGTCGCAGACTACCCCGAACAGTGCTTGGTCACTTGCACCAAGTACGGGACGTGTAGCGTGTGCCAGTGCCCGGAGTCGGGTCTTGGGGAAGACTCACCGCGAACTCCACGTAGACAGCTGTGGACGCTGGATGTGTTACGCAAGGCGCAGGCGAAAGGGACGAAGGGCTCGACGCCGTTCTTCAATGCGTGCAAGGAGTTTAACGTCTCTGGCTACGTCGTCGAGCCCTTCTGGAAAGACCTACCGTTCACCGACATACACATGTGCATCACGCCCGATGTCCTCCACCAGCTCTACCAGGGAGTCTTCAAGCATGTCGTCGAATGGTGCGGCGAGGTCATGGACGAGAAGGAACTCGACGCACGCATTCGATGTCTTCCGCCCGCGTACGGAACCCGGCACTTCAAGAACGGAATTTCCGCACTTTCACAGGTGTCCGGGAGCGAGCGCAAAGACATGGCTCGTATCCTTTTGGGGTGTCTTGTAGGTCGTGTCCCTAGCGCCATCATCCACACCTTCCACGTGCTCCTTGATTTCATTTATCTCGCGCAGTATCCAACTCACGACGAGACGACCCTGTCGTACATGGACAACATATTGAAGACTTACCACAAGCACAAATCGATCTTGAAGACCCTCGGCATCCGTGAGCACCTCAACATCCCCAAATTCCATTCACTCCATCACTACATCGACTCTATTCGAAACCTCGGGACGACGGACAACTACAATACCGAAATGTTCGAACGGCTGCACATCGACTGTGCGAAGAAGGCGTGGCGAGCTTCCAATCATCGCGACGCACGCCCTCAGATGGTCAAGTGGTTGGACCGCCAGGAGAAGATATCGATGTTCGAAACGCTTCGCCAGAGGCTTCGAGAGGACTCTGGCAACACTGACGACTCTGGTGTCGCTCCAGAAGCCCACTCGCACTGACCCAGAACCGGTCTCATGATGCCCAAGCATCCATCTGTCATCCAGCAACCCATTCAGTCGATCGCCGACAGACACCACGCTCGCGGGTTCACCAAAGCCCTGAATCAATATATATATTCGCTCAAACTCGGCCGTCGACTTACGCCTAAGGAACTGGACATGGCAAGTTCATACCTACCATTCACCCGTCTCGACGTATTCCACAACTTCAAATTCACAACAATTCCACTCACCGACACTCAGCCAGAACGCGACGCTGTCAAGGCCAAACCGGCTTGCGGAACAGACGCAGCAAGGTTCGACACCGTAGTGGTTTTACAAGGCGACGAGGCGGAGGCAACGGGGCTCCAAGGTGAGTTCAGAATACATATTCATGCTTACATTTCATACTTACACACTACTGACTGGGACTAGGTACGAGAATTGGGAGGGTGAAGGTGATCTTCCGCTTACCTCAGAAGATACGCCAGCATGGGATGATGGCGGAGATGCAGGCACCGGAGGAATGGGCTCACGAAGGTCCGTTGGCTTACGTCGAATGGTTCGCTAAGCTCCCGGCCTCAGCGGACCCCGTACACATGATGTACGATGTCCAGAAGATGCCGCTGAGAGCAGACGGGACTTCAGCGGGGGAGATCGTGCCTTTGAGAACGATCCGTCAGTCTTGTCAATTGATTCCGAAGTTTCCAAAGCCTACATCCATCGACTTACCTGCACAAGTACCACAAGACTGGAGCTCGGATACGGTACTTGACAAGGCCAGTAAGTTTCTAATGAACAACTGGAGTAGTAAATACTCGTATCAGACAATATGGTAGCCTTACGAATAATGATTGCGTTGTACACTACAAGATCATTAAGTACTACAACCGTCAAACACTTGGACTACTCTGGTACTCATGCATCGGAATACCGAGCTATATTGAACTCCCGTCCGTTCGTCCGCCCGGTCATTTATCCGCCCGGTCATCCGTCCGTCCACTTCTCCCTCCGCCTGATCATGTGTCCACTCGCCCCGCGCGTCCACCTGCGCATCAACTTGCTCTGCGTGAGGTTCGTGACTCGCCTCTTCCCAGCGGGCCTTCTGTCGCCCATGCGTCAGCTGTACGCACGCCCGCTTGCTTGACCCCTTCCGAGGCTTCTGCGTCGCCATACCCCGAGCGTGCTGACTTATATCCCCTCCAGTCTCCCTCCGCCGCCACCATTTGTCGCCCACCGCCACCGCGCCTCTCTGTGGCTCCGTCTCGACGCTCTGTTACTATCCCATCATCACATTATTTAGTGTGTCTAACCCGTTATCAACGGTAAACCCGGAGTGAGATTCGGCTGTTTGCAACGTTGGCCCGGAGGCCGACCGGAGCAAACACTCGGGCGTTGTAAGCGTTCCGGCCGGTGATGCCTGGCGATGCTGGGAACGTTCTGGCCGGCGCTGAACAGATACAAGGGGAGGTGTGGGTGTCCAGGATACATAGGTCTCCAGAGCCGTCTGGCAGGCTCAGCCGTACAATGCGATTACTCATGTGAAACGCACCGGCCGGGGAGTCAACACGACCGCTCCCAGCGCCCCGGCCGGTGTACCATGAATGCCATGCTACACGTGGCGGCCGTTGTCATGGGGGATTATGGAGACTACAGCTGAGACGTTCCGGCCGGCCATTCGCATAGCATGTATGACCTAGCCCGGGCTCGTCCTGACGGTCCGGCCGGGCTTTCATATAGCATGGAGGGACCTTCCCGGGGCTGGCTAGGCCTGCTCGGCCCGACGTTATAACGGTCCGGCCGGCCTCTCGTATGGCATGTAGGGACCTTCCCGGGGCTGGCTAGGCCTGCTCGGCCCGACGTTATAACGGTCCGGCCGGCCTCTCGTATGGCATGCAGGACCTTCCCGGGGCTGGCTAGGCCTGCTCGGCCCGACGTTATAACGGTCCGGCCGGCCTCTCGTATGGCATGCAGGACCTTCCCGGGGCTGGCTAGGCATGCTCGGCCCGACACTATAACGGTCCGGCCGGCCTCTCGTATAGCATGCTGGCTTGTCTCGCCATTCATACTCTGGGCTTATAATGAATTTCTTTTGGGCGGTCGCGTGAGTGTCACCACAGACCAGGGTAGCATTCAACAGCATCGTATCTAACTACTACATGCATTGCGACTATGTCCGTTATCCCGAACGACTCCGCGCCTGATAGTACTCCGTCACCCAGTCAACAGCGCGGTGGTTTCGAGTGTTCGCTGCTTGAAGTGCAGTCAGTGCGTCAATGCGAGCCATGATGATGGCCTTCTCCGCTTGTAGTTCGGCCACCCTTGTCGGTGTGGCACCGGTGAACGCTGGGCCGGGAACTGAGTACCGAAATGTTAGTAAATCAAGTAATCGCACACTGGGAAACACGACAGTACAGTTTGGCGGCCAGTCCACATCGGGGTGACCGTCTGCCTCCCACAAGTGATTTGCGGGATCGTGACGTGCAGTCATTGTCACCGAAAACGTGAAAAACGGGTCTTCTTCCCTGCCAAGCAGCATGGTCTCGTCGTGTACTCGGTATGCTATAAACATGGTCGCATCAGACCTGACACTCGGCTGTCATAAAGTCCGGATGCACGCCCAAGCCTACACCGCTAACCGGGCTTGCATATGGCATTCGGTTCGAAGCACGCCCCGGACGATGGGTGCAGTGCCGAAGACCAGGCTGCGAAGAGCTGTGTACAAAGGTCACTCACCGTCTTCAGTGCTGTTCTCCATGCCTTGCGTAATTTCTGAAGCCTGGGAACGACTACAATGAGCATAAGTCGCGAAATATCCCATGAACACGTACCGAGGCCTCGCCCTCATTGTCTTCGAAAATGGTTGGATCCGGAGCCCCGCCAGACTCATTCGCACCGTGACGAGACACCGGTTTCTTTTGAACCGGGGCATGAGCTTGGACGCGGGGCCTTGATGTGTGCCCCAAGTTGACCGATTGCGCCGCTGGACTGACGGGCTTAGCGGGTTTGTCCTGACCCACCGCGGCGGGGCCAATCACGTCGGGCCGAGCAACCTTCAGAGCGCGAGGGCGTGGGCGAGGGTTTGTAGAGGCGGGGACGTGGGGCGGGCTCATCTGGGTGGCACCGGCTTTCAGGGATTTGTTCCCTTCGTCCACCATCTCCATGTCAGAATCCGCACTTGTGCTCTGCGTCGCCGGCTTTGTGTGGCCGACAATGACGACGTCGGAGTCACTACTTGCTTCCCCCCCTTGACGTTCGGTCCCACTTGCTTTCCCGTGAGAGGCACCTGTCGAGACAACGGGGAGTAACCCGTAGGCATCGATACCTCGGTGAGGCTCTGATGCAACGCCTTGTGAGTGTAAAGCAACCAGCCCAGCTCCAATGACTTACCGCAGGTTTGCGCTTGAAAGGGATGCCCCATCGTCCGAGCCTGATTGGGCCCCCGGCAGCGACTTGCGCCGGAGGTGGATTCGCCTAGAAGGTGTGGCATCGCAGTAAGCACGAAAACAATGGAAGACAAGATAATGAACAAGGTAACGTGGAGAAGACTTACCTGCATTCCCGGATCTCGGCTTTGTTCTCCTCGGATAGCCTGCGCGCCGTTCGCAACCCCCTTGTCCGCGTCCGCCGGGAGAACCTGTGTGGTGGTTCGCTGGTTGATTGGGTGGATTAGCGCGAAGCATTTGGCAAAGTAGCGCACTACCCGCACTCACCGGAATTTTGACACGCTTCTCCGGGGCCTGCGATGATTCCCCGCCATCCAAGTGATCCGTCTCGCGCCGGGCAGAGTGAGATTGGCCCTGCATACACGTCGGTCAGTGTTAGAGTAAATGATCCAATATACGTACATTGTCGGGCGGGGCATGCGAGCCCTTGCGCTTCATCGGGACATTGAACCCTCCCGGCCGCACACGGTAGGTTGGCGCCTTCATATCCCCGGCTGCTGTGGCCGGAGTTTGCTTATCCGCATTGGCCGTTGTCTGTGTCGCCCGCTAGGACGACCTGTTGTTAGTGTAATACCGAATTTCGAGCTGAACGTCCACGTACCTGAGATTCAGCAGCCGCAGCATCCTTAGCCGTATGTCCCAACGTCACATCGGCCCGAATGCGAGCACTGCTCGAATCTTCCTCTGCTGCTGCGGGTCGAGCGGAAGAACCTATCCGGGGTAGTCAGCAATAGAACACAGAGGGTGGAATACACCGTACCTTGCGTAGACATCTTGGATGATGGAAGGCAACAACAACGCGACGCGCCATCACGATGTTCATGTTCGGTTAATTTTCCCGCGGCCCGCCGTGTGCACGTGACCGTCGGTGTTGATCTTCACGATCGGTGTGGCTTCGGCTCGCTTGTCTCTTGCTTTCATCACCCCGCGTCCACTGTCTGTTGCCGCGCCGTCCTCGCATCCTCATCCACTCTGCTTCGCTTTTGCTCTCGCCCAAAATGTCGACCGACGCTGCCACCGCCACCGCCCCACCATCCGCCAACCCCGAGCCTCCGCGCACGGCAAAGTCGCCGGCGGAAATCGCCGTGTATCTGGAGGAGGCAAACAAACGTCTCGTAACGTTGCTGGGGGGGCGCATGGTTCGTCCGGACGAGGAGGAGAAGCTGTTGGAGGAGATAGTGAGTGTTGCATACCCGCTGTGTATTTCCCGCGTTGTTGACCTTGGACTCTGCAGCTCGATCCTCTCGTGGACCTCTTGGTAAGTGACATGTCTTGCCCATGACAAAGCCATGCTGAGAGAGTGGAACAGCGTGACGCAATGGAGGAGATCACCCTGTGCTGGTCGGAGGACAAGCCTCTCGAGCTGCTTCCACTGTCCCGCTGATGCTGCTCTCGGCCATCCTCGAGATCAACCTTGTCGACTCCGAGGGAGTCCCGGTGAGGCTGTCTCGGATTTCCCCCCTCGATGACAGGCTTCCGGATTGCGAGTGGTACAACCCGCTCGCCCCGCCCGGCTTGTATTCCGCCGCCAGCCACGGCAACGCAGCCGCGGGACCATCCCGCCCAAGCCACGCCGTACGCTTCCGGGACCTTGCGGAAGACGACTCAAATGGTGAGGAGGAGGCTCCGGTGCATGAGGACGAGATGGAGATCGACGAGGACGAGCCGAGGGAATCGCGGGCCGTGGTGAAGAAGAGCAGCTCGGGGAGAAAGAGGTCGGCTGCGTCGAAGAAGCGTAAACGCGCTGCAACTCCGCCCAGGTCGGCAAAAGGTAAACGGCGCGCACGCCCGGACGACGATGACTCCGTGGATGAGCAGGAGGCGGAGGAGCAGGACGAGGTGGAGGAGGAGGAGGAGGAGGAGGAGGAGGAGGAAATCCAGGCGAAGTCGAAGGGGAAAGGTGAGTACCAGAGCTTCGGTCGCGAGGCCATTGGTAACAGACAGGACGTTAGGCAAAGCGGGGCAGAAGGGGATCCTCAAGCGGAACACGCGCGACGCAACGGTGGATGCGAAGGCCGCAAAGGCCGCAAAGGCCGCAAAGAAGGATCGTGCCGCCTGGCAAATGGACTATAACGCGGAAGGCGAAACTCGGAAGGAGGTTGACAAGGACCTGAGGGTACGTTCCGCCTATCTAACCTGATCTTTCCACACTCACATCCTCTGCAGAACCCTCCTTGCACGGCCTGCAAGGGGTTCCCATGCTACATTTCGGTACCCGAGGTGTCAGCACTCCGTAAGGACGGCAAGCCGAAGAAAAGGAAGGTCCCGGCGTGGATTTCTGCCACGTCAAGAAGACACGGTGCGTAGATATCGACACGGAGGGCACCTTCAAGCCACAGAAGAGCAGCCGGGCACATCGTCGAAGAAATCGCCAGGCTCTGGCTCTCGAGCTAGCAGTGTGGTGTCGGATCGGTCGCAGAGTGTCGCCGAGGGTCCCCCAAGCACGGGCGCCGGCTCGGACGACGAAAGCGACACCGGCTCGGTCGCCACAACGGGCTCGCGGCGAAGCACTCGTCGCAGCAATACGCCTTCGCGGCGACCAATGCCCGTCACGAAGCAGCCAGCGAAGCGAGGACGGAGTGCTGCACCATCGAAAGGAAAGGGGAGGGCCGACCACGGCGAGGAATCATCCAAGGCGGATGCCGGCCGAGAGCCCCCACGGAAGCGGGCGAAGACTGCACAGGACCCGCCGCCCGACCCGACAGATATCAGTAAGTGAAAGGTACCCATGCCTCTGGTACTGCCCACTAATGTCGTAGGGCGTATGTATCCAGTGGTTCCGGGCGGGGATGGCGGCTCTCTCGGCGCTCCCGTGGTCGTCTTACAACGTCAGGCCGAGCTCGCCGCGAACACTGAGCTACGTATCCGCGAGCTCGAAGGTAACGTGTGGCGGCTCAACGAGCAGGTGGCCGCCCTGGAGGCGATGAACAATGCACTGCTGGAGCACCAGCGGTTGCTTGGTAAGTCGCACCATGCCCCTCGCTTTCTCGGGCTAACATGTCCTTCAGGTCTTACATTCTTGGGCGGGGGCAATCAGGCGGCGTACATCGAAGCCCTGCGCGACATGGTGGACGGCGGGAACGAAGGGCCCCCTGCGGAGATGAACAGTCCTGGGCGACAGTCGATGTCCCAGTCACCACCACCCGCACCGGAAGCCATTGGGCCGGCGCTGGGAACAGGTCAGGCTCGGGGGGAGGATGTGGAAGACCAGCCGGCCGTCGCTATTGGTCCGGCCCGCCCTCCACCAGTCCCCATGCAAGCATCGCCGCCCAGTGCGCGCGCTACAGTGAGTTCTTTCCACGATGTACCTTTATGTCCGAGCGGCACATTAACGCTGTAACCTAGCCGGCCCCGGCGCAAGCCACATCCGAGGCTCCGGTGCCCGGCCCGTCGACGCAGGGACCCCCGGCGGTTCCCGCTCTGCCACCCCGCCTCCTATGGGCAAGTCGCGAGTTTGGCACAGGCGCGGGCGGACTGGGTAGCTTCATGCCGAGGCCCCTGTTCAGCCAAGTGCCCCAGATGCTGGCGGCCGCCGCGAACGCACCTCCCCGTCCGCCGTCGGCCGACACCGCGCTGCCAATGCCGACAACCGCGACGGGCACTCCGCATGAGGTGAGCCGTCCCGCACTCCCGGCCCCGTCAGGCTCGAACTCCGGCGGCCAGTCTGCACCCGACCCCGATGCAGCCCAGCAAGCTCCGGCGACGCCACCGGTCGTGCCGTCGAAACCAACCAGCCAGTCCTCTGCCGTCCCTGTGGGTTCCTCCAGCATCCCAGATGTGCCACCTCAGCCGGCTGAAGCACCTCCACCTCTGCCCCCTGTCCCAACTGACAATACTGGGACTGAGCCGTCGGCCGGGGCCCCTCAGTCTGGAGACAATGAACCGCCCGTGCTGGGCTCGCAGAAGGACATGAGTGGTGCTAATGGCTTGGAGTGAGAGATGCCGGGGGTCGTAGTATGATAGTGTCCTCGCAATGGACTTGTAACGTAGAGTCCAATATCTGTACAATGTATCTTGTGGCAACGAAATACACAGTAGTTCACTGTTCCTAGACTGAAGCGAGCACCGAGCTTGACCGCCCACCAACACTCAACCAACTCTCGGCCCGAGAATCTCACCGAGCTCTCGCCGAGAGTCTCAACGAACTCTCGGCCCGAGAATCTCACCGAGCTCTCGGCCCGAGAATCTCACCAAATCCTCGGCCCGAGAATCTCACCAAATCCTCGCCCCGAGAATGTCACCGAACTCTCGCCCGAGAATCTCACCGAGCTCTCGCCCGAGAATCTCACCAAATCCTCGCCCGAGAATCTCACCGAACTCTCGGCCCGAGCAACTCAATCAACTCTCGGCCCGAGCATATCCTCAAACACTCGGCCCGAGAGGTCCATGTTAGGAGTGGGACAGACAGCATCGTGGGCATTTCATTGCAATTGAGAGTGTACAAACGTGACATCAGGATGATCTCTAACGCCGGCGAGTGGACGATCTGGTCGCCTTCGTGCTCTTTGCCGACCGCTTTCCCGGCGCCGGCGATGCAGACACGTTCGGCTTGACCCGTTTTGCCCGGGCACCGATGGCGGATGATTTCTCGGGCTCTCCATCCGCCTTCCGCTTTTTCTGCGTGCGGTATGCCATGTCCGACCATAGGTCCGCGATCTCGGTGCAATGTTCCCCCAATTCCTCGACAAAGCGGTAAGTCAGTTGGGATTCGTGCACGTACTGCGGGATTTCCGCCTCCTCGTCACTCCGGTGCTCGGTTTTCTTCTCGACGTCCTTCACAACCATTGCAATGGCCAGTGTGACCATGAGGCCGTCTTCCCGGCCCATCGGAGTGTCGGTGAGGCTTGTGCGGATCCTGGTGAGCCAGGAGCGGAACTGCGTGAGGACACCCTTGTCCCTATGGATATCCGGAGTGCACCTTGCACGGCGGTACTTCCAACTGGCCCAATCCCACTTCGTCTTGGATTGCCATGCTCCGGTCTCCGGCTGGTCGCTGCTCGTCAACACCACGCAGCCCAGGCTTCAACTGATACACCCACCAGGTGGTGCAGATTGTCTACGAGCTTCATAACGCCGTCGTCCACGGTTAGCTCCCTGATCCACTGCCGCCTTTCCTCCCAAGTCTTGCGGCGACGGCCGGGCTATCCTCGTGTGGCTGTGGTCCAGGACGACCCGTGCGCACGGCCGGCGCGTCCTTGTCTTCTTCGGCTTGACTACAAAATGGAAGGATGTTAGATGTGGCACATGCGACACTGACCGTTACTTACCCGCGTCGGCAGAATACCACCTCGTTGTCGTCGTCGGCATCGGATTCGGCCGAGCCTTCTCTTCCGACTGGCCCAGCTTCTGGTTTGCGTCAGGCTGCTTGGCGACCTTGTCGGTTGCTGATCAGTGGTGGTACGATACCTTGGTTTGGGCTTGACGGGCTTCCGGCTGACAGAGGGCTCGGGGGCAGGCTCGGGCCGGTCACTGGTGGGCTTGACACCCGCTTTGCCGCCCGGGACTTGCTCGCTGCCGGCTTTGAGGTCGTGTTGCCCGCTTCGTCAACGACCTTGCCGCCGCTGCAACTGCTGCGGGCTTCTTGAGTCTGCCCGACTGACCTGCCGTGACCGAGCTGTCATTTCCGGATGCCCGACGAGTGGGCTCGGGCTTCGACGGCGCAGTACGTGGAACGATACCCTTCCCTTTGTCCTTTCGGGCTGGCGGTGGTGCGTCCTCATCCGGCGACGCGGGAACCACTTCCTTTTTCTTTCCCTTGTCCTTGCGCTTCGGGGACAGTTTCACCGGCTGCTCCTCCTCATCTGTACTGAAGTCAGCTTTGAACACCTCGCCGAAGTCCTCCTCTCCATCGGTCTCCACCGCAGATTCCTCATCGCTGGCGACGTCGGGGAGACCGCCGGCGACGTGGGCGAGACGGTCCGGGAGTGGCTTGCCGAGGCTTGGGGCGTGGCGCCTTGCCGGAGGTTTAGGCCTCAGCTCCTGTGGGACGACGATCTCCATCTTGGAGTTCTTCCACGCCCTGAATCGCAGCACGGGAC